ATTATTAAACTTTCATCCTCATTTTCACCCGTTTAAGGGATGATTTGCGAGATAAAAAGTATATTATGTCCTTCCCAAGGTCTCAAACCATCTTCTTACCAAATTTCATTTAAATCGATTCAGTAGACTGTAGATGGATCTACAGTCTACTTAACCCCTTCAACGTCACAAACTCATAAACTTTACCTTTATAAATTGCATCATTGCATTGCCCGCGGCTCCGCCCGCGTTTAGATAAGAAAAACCAAATTTTTAGGTTTTACATATTAGTATACTCTTACATTGCAGTTTTTGTTTTTTTCTTAGAAATGAGATATTTTCCCGCGGTAAAAAGTATCCTATATGTTGACCCGGATAACCAGCTATCACCATACCAAATTTCATCAAAATCCCTTCAGTGGTTTTTCCGTGATGCGGTAACAGACAGACAGACAAAAATTCTAAAAACTATAGATTCGTTCTCAAAAAATATTTAATGTACCTACAGATTCGGCTTAGTAGTTTTAAAATTTTATTATATGTATAGATAAAAACAGAGTTTTACGATTCGAACTTGAACATAATTAATAATTATTTAACTTTTTTTAAATTATAATTTATCATGTAATATATTGGATATTATCGTTAATTTAATTATTTTTTATTGTTCACTCCCGCTAACACCACACCACGTAATACGTACAATGTTAGTAAAGCTACTTTTAACTTTTATATTTTCATTTTAAGAGCTGAGTCACTTGGGAGACTATATTGCTCTGGTAGCTGGTTAACAAATTTTATTATCTATACGCTAGTTATAATATTATTAAGTTTCGCTTACTTATATTATACATAATTTTGGCTAACTCTGAAGTAGGATTTGCAAGATATATATTACATATTCTTATTGATTTATCTGCTAATTGTGATAAAAGGGGTTCGCTACGAGCGCATTCCATTAAAATGTGGTACATATCCTCTACAACTCCGCAATCGGGACAATTAGGAGAAAAACAAAAACTTTCTTCATTAAATATTCTAACTTATTTAATGGAATGTGTCCAGAGCAGTCTCAAAGCCATCAAAATATCTTCACATTTCAAATTACACGTTATATCCACCCGAGAATTCTACCAAGGTTGTGGTGGAATAACTTTTAATCTATACATATAAATATAAATGAAACACTGAAATGTATGTACGAGCATAACTTCCGATCGACTGCACCAAATTGGATATTTTTTTTTTCTTTTTGTTTTTTGTTGTTTGTTATTTATTTATATATTGTCAGGACAAGTTTTGTATAAAAAAAATTTAAAGATTTTTTTTTTCTAAAATGTAATTTTTTTAAATCTCATGATCCGATTTAGATGATATTTGGTAAGAAGATAGTTTGAGACCCTAGGACGGTAGGATACTTTATATCCCGGAAATCATCCCTTAAGGGTGTGAAAATGGGGATGAAAGTTTGTATGGGGAAGCAAGCCAGGGACAAACCCGAGCGAAGCAAGGGTGAGTCGCTAGTATAGTATACTGATTTTAATAAAATAAATACTAAATGTTACCTCGTCATACTGACTTTGAACATTTTTCCAATCAATTGAATTCATTAGTTTTGATTTAATGCAATTTATGTATACCAAACGTATCGTATTGATAATTAAGTTTAATTATTTTATAAATTAGTATAATTTAAAAGCTGGGCTTCGTTCGACGCATTTCGGGAAAAATGAAAAAAAATCGTTTTTTCAGAAAAGACACCTAGAAAGATAAACTTAAAAAGCGAAACCTTATCTAAATACAAAATTTAATCCAAATCGTTAGAGCCGTTTTCTAGATACATGAAATACATTTATATACATACATATACCTACACAAGAATTGTTCATTTAATATTATAAATAATAATAAAAAAAATATGAATAATAAAAACTGAAACTTCTGACCTTCTGCGGAACACTTTAATCATTAGGCTGGTCTCAGATGGCGGCGAATTTACGAACCATACCTATTGCGCGGGCAAATCTTTTTGTGTGAAAATACGGAGAAAATGAATTTATAAGACCTAGTTAGATCGATTTTTCTCCCCCGTAAGCTGTTCGCTTAATAGCTTCCCTGTATTGCCCGTTTATTAGTCTATACATATAATAAAATTGTAACTAAGTCGAATCTGTACATTAAATATTTTTTGGAAAATCTTATTAAAATAGTCATTATTATCGATACAGAGGCCGAATCTATAGTTTTTAGAATTTTTGTCTGTCTGTCTGTCTGTCTGTCAGTGTTACCGCGTCACAGAAAAACCACTGGAGGGATTTTCATGAAATTTGGTATGGTGATAGCTGTTTACCCGGGTCAACATATAGGATACTTTTTACCGCAAAATATCTCATTTCTGAGAAAAAATATAAAAACTGCAATGTAAGAGTATACTAATATGTAAAACCTAAAAATTTGGTTTTTGGTCATCTAAACGCGAGCGGAGCCGCGGGCAATGCTAGTACCATAATAAAATTATAATTTATACTCCACTATCGCCTCTAGACAAACAAAAACAAATTTAGGTACTTCGTAAATTATATTATAATTTATTTTTTATGTACATAAATAATACCCAAGGATAAATAATTGAGGTACCATAAATTATCTATACATATAATAAAATTGTAACTAAGCCGAATCTGTATATGAAATATTTTTTTGGAAAATTTCATTGAAATGGACATTATTATCGATACAGCGGCCGAATCTATAGTTTTTAGAATTTTTGTCTGTCTGTCTATCTGTCTGCTGTTACCGCATCACAGAAAAACCACTAGAGGGATTTTGATGAAATTTGGTATGGTGATAGCTGGTTGTCCGGATCAACATATAGGATACTTTTTACCGCGGGAAAATATCTCATTTCTGAGAAAAAATACAAAAACTGCATTGTAAGAGTATGTATTGTATTGTAATTGTAAAATCTAAGAATTTGGATTTTTGTCATCTGAACGCGGGCGGAGCCGCGCGTAATGCTAGTTTCATTATATGTATAGATATTGTCATAAGCAAGCTTTACAATGTATGAAGTCGCTCCTTAACCTTTCAACTTTGGCCGTAAATACATTAGCATGAATATAAAAAGTTAGTCATTTGACGTAAGCATAAATATCAGAAGTAATAAATAATAAATAATAAAAAATGGTTATTTTTAATAAAAAAAAAACAAAATTTGTGTTCACAATTTATTTCGAAATATAACAGAAAATTAAATAAAAACTTTGAATAATACTATTAAAAATGCATATTATATTACAAGACGTAAAAAGAACTCTCCAATATTAAGCTATGTGTAACCTAAAGCAATTGACTGTGCCAAAGAACGTGATGGAAAAAATTACTGGCATTAGGTAATTAGTAATTTAAATCGTCTTAGTTATAATTTTATTATATGTATAGATTGTAACTCGCTGTCTTTACATTAAAGATATTTCAGTAAAATTTAATGATTTTTAAATTTGTTGTCTGTTTATCTCTGCGTTTGTGAGCGCTAATCTCAGAAACGGCTTAACAGATTTGGGTGCGGCCTGCGGGTTTCACTAATGTATCGTGGTAAGCTTCACTTAACTTTTAAATTTGTTTTTTTTTGAATCGGTTCGTAAATAAAAAAAAGTTATATTCGTCTTTTTTATAATATGTGAATTCTTCGTTTTTACGGTCAAAAATATATCTTAAGCTTTGGCAAAAAATAAACAAACAAAAAAAATAGGAAAATCCTAACGATTTAATTTTTTTGTATTATGTTAGAATTATGTTACTTTTTGTTAAATTAAATATGAAATAAATATGCGGTTAAATTATACTGTCATGTGCTATGGTTGGTGGCTTCGGCCAACCGTCGGGGCGTCGCGGTTGTATACGAGAGCGACCCCGTGGCGTCCCACACAGTTGGTGGTGGTAGTGGGTATGCCGGTCTCATTAGCCGGAGAGTCTCCACATAACCACCCCGGGGGAAGTCGGGTGGTATCCGTAACAAGATTTCCCAACTATAAAAAAAGAAAAATACTGTCATGTGCTGCCTCCTGTGTTTAGTAAACACGCAAGCTTGGAGATTATGTAGAGATATTTAATTAGTACGCAGTATACTATATACAAATAATATAAATCGTCAAATAAAATGCTGTTGGCCTTGTCCATCAAGGCCAGGACCAGGTTTGATTACCTGGTTTCGTTAGATGGAGTTAAATATTAACCGTACGTACAAGACAAAAGTCGCGACTGCCACCATCCTACAGCGTTTTAAACATCGATAACTCTTCTAACAATTGAAAGTAGAATAAAAAAGACGAAAATGTACAAATTTGAAATTCATCATGACTCAATCTTATTACAAATTTGTTATTCTATCTCATTACTTACGTTTTAACGTTTAGTATCGATTTCTCAGAGATGAGATATTTTCCCGCAGTAAAAAGTATCCTATACGTTGACCCGGATGACCAGCTATCATCGTACGAAATTTCATCAAAATCCCTCCGGTGGTTTTTCCGTGATGCGGTAACAGACAGACAGAGAGATAAAATTTCTAAAATCTATAGATTCAGCCTCTGTATCGATAATAATGTCTATTTTAATAAGATTTATCAAAAAATATTTAATGTACAGGTTCGGCTTAGTAACAATTTTATTACATGTCTATAGATGACTTGCGCTGCGATGTTTACGCGAATATTTGACCATTTAAATGAAACCATGTCAGATTTTGTCGCGGTCTGGTCATGAATTCTTGTTCGCGAAGTTTTGAATGTTATACAGTAATAGTCTCAAAATGGAGTTTTTGTGGGTTGTATTATAACGTGTTTTGACGTGGGAATGAGATAATCTCCCGCGTTAAAAAGTAGCCTATGTCACTCTCCAGCCCTACAACTAAGTATCTCTGTTTCGATGTGAAAGAAAGACAAACAAACACATGTTCACATTTATAATAATAATAAGTATGGATGTATAATTATATTAAGACAATTTTTTTTGTTATCTAGAAAAGCTCCTTGCAAGCTATGATGATTTAGACAAAGACGTGTCAGAGGACTACCTGAGCCATAAAGAGAAATATGAAGTATCCGTGAGAAAGTCTGTCAAAATATTCTCTCTCATACGTCGTATGCAAGAAGAGGGAAAATATAATTTAGGGAATTACAGGTTAATGTTATATATATACTAGCATTGCTCGCGGCTGCGCCCGCGTTTCGATGACCAAAAACTAAATTCTTATGTTTTACATATTAGTATACTCTTACAATGCAGTTTTTATATTTTTTCTCAGAAATGAGATATTTTCCCGTGGTAAAAAGTATCCTATATGTTGACCCGGACAACTAGCTATCATCATACCAAATTTCATCAAAATCCCTCCAGTGGTTTTTCCGTGATGCGGTAACAGACAGACAGACAAAAATTCTAAAAACTTTAGATTCCGCCTCTGTATCGATAACAATTCTATTTCAATAAGATTTTCCAAAAAATATTTAATGTACAGATTTGGTTTAGTTAGAATTTTATTATATGTATAGATAATAAAGGTGATCTTTCAGTAAATTTGTATTGCTGAGATATTTCACTTGGACTTTAAGTCCAGTCAAAATTGACAGTCAATAAAAAACTAAATACTTATTTAATATTTTTAGAAATTATCGTTATATATTTTTACATGTATATTTTGATAGAGAAATGATATGAAACTTCTCTAATGACCTAAGAAATGATTTAAAAGTTTATCCAATTTTACAATAGCACTTGTCACATACACAATACTCATTTAAGTGAAAGATACGGGAAACTATTTTGTTGATCTCTATATTTCCATTTTTCCAATAATTGACATAGAGATGAAAAATATTATTCTTCTATACATATAATAAAATTGTAACTGATACGAATCTGTATAAAATCTGTATAAATATTTTTTGGAAAATCTTATTGAAATAGACAATATTATCGATACAGAGGCCAAATGTATAGTTTTTAGAATTTTTGTCTGTCTGTCTGTCTGTCTGTCTGTCTGTCTGTCTGTTACCGCATCACGGAAAACCCACTGGAGGGTGTCAACACATAGAACACTTTTTATCGCGGAAAAATATCTCATTTCTGAGAAGATACAAAAAAGGCAATGTAAGGGTATACTAATATGTAAAACCTAAGAATTCGACTTTTGGTCATCTGAACGCGGGCGGAGCCGCGGGCAATGCTAGTATCTCTATATTTTTATGATTTTTCACAAACTTTAATGTTAAATCTATACTAATCTGACTAGATCAATCTTTCATGTTTATTTTAGGGATATTGTAGCGAATCTTTTTCGAATGTCTACCATCCGGGACGGTTCCCCTCTAGCTCTACACTACGTTATGTTCATGCCGGCGATTATGAACCAGGGGGATGAGGATCAGCAGGCGCAGTGGCTAGCCAGGGCTTGGAAATGCAGTATTATTGGAAGCTATGCACAGGTTAGTATATACTCGTATGTGCATTCATCGTTTTAAATAGTACCTACATCTGTACTAATATTATAAAGAGTTCGTTTGTTTGTTTGTTTGTTTGCTACAACGAACACGCTAATCTCAGTAAACACTAATCCGATTTGAAAAATACTTTTTGCATTATATAGCCCGTTTATTGAGGAAGGCTATAAGGCTATATATCATCCCAGAAAAATGTATGGTTCCTATGGAAGGGATTGGTTTTTGTCGTTAGTTGATTATATAATTCATAATTTATTCAAAAAAAATCGTCAAACTATTAACATTTAACAGTCTTTATACCTATATATTGTTTTTTTTGTTGATATCAGACGGAGTTAGGTCATGGAACGTTTATTCGTGGCATGGAGACGACGGCTACTTATGATCCAAGTACTCAAGAGTTTGTTTTAAACAGCCCTAATTTCACTTCCTACAAATGGTGGCCCGGCGGAAGTAAGTAAAAGAGAAGTAATATAAAATAAGGTTTACATTAATTTATGTCTATTTGACCATAATTGAAAACAAAAATTCTGATAAAATCCGTATTAATCTATACTAATTTAATAAATGTGAAAGTTTGTGAGTATAGATGTTTGTTACCCTTTCACGTCAGAACGGCTGAACGGATCTTGCTGAAATTTGGCACAGAGATAGATAGTATATAGAGATATAGTCTAGAATAATACATAGGCTATTTTTATTCCGGAAAATGTACGGTTCCCGTGGGATGGGATTTTCCTACAGGCGAACCCGAGCGAGTTTGAGCCGCTAGTAAATAATATTATACTTTACTAGATAAGTAGATCTGAGTTTAAACAAGTTTCTCTTGATATGCAGTTTCATTTTATATTTTGCAAATGATTATTCAATCTACACTATTATAAATGAATGAATGTAGTCTGTCGGTTCATCTTTTTACGCTTAAATATCCAAACAGATTTCAATAAAGTTTGGAATTTTGAAAACTTTTGTAAAAAGAACATTTAGAATTTGTAAAATAAAATAATTTTGATCTCATTTAATTTTTTTTATTTTCAGTTGGTCAATCAGCAAACTATTCAATTGTTGTAGCACAATTGTATACAAAAGGAAAATGTCATGGCGTACACTCTTTTATAGTTCAAGTACGAGATGAAGAAACACACGCGCCTTTATCTGGAATAAAAGTTGGAGATATTGGAGCCAAGATGGCCCTTAACCCGGTTAACAATGGTTTTATAGGTTTTGATAATGTGAGGATACCGAGGAGGCAAATGTTGATGAAGCATGCTCAAGTTTTAGAAGCAAGTATCTACTGACATTTTATATTATTATAGGGCCTAATTATAGTTGTGGATTTTGTAAACGAATTCGTTTCGGACATTAACCGGAACAAACACATACAAACAGACAGACAAAGATGTTAAAAATTGTGATTTTGTTATAACTACCGTATTATTTTATATGCATTTAATAAAAAGTTGTTATTTTGATATAACAACATACACTTCAATTTTATTTCATCTGTGTAGATGTAGCTAGAGCTTTAACAGCTTCTAGATTTTCAACCGACTTCAAAAAGGAGGAGGTTCTCAATTCGACTGTATGTTTTTTTTTTTTTTATGTTTGTTACCTCAGAACTCCGTCATTTATTAACCGATTTGGACAATTTTTGTTTTGTTTGAAAGGGTATACTTCCAGATTGGTCCCATTTAAATTTCAAAAAAAAATACCACCCCTAAGGATGGAAAAACAACTAATAATGAATTTAACCTACTTCTAATTGTCATATTGACTTGAAACTTTGCAAGTATTTCTATTTTCGTTGATAGTACAGTGGTTCGGTGTTGTTGACCTGATCTGATGGCAAGGCCAGAAGGTGGATAGGTGGAACTCTTTAACGGCTAATAGTAGATACTTTGAGTTTGGGCTTATTTTGTTTGATTTGACAAGCCTAACACGTTAGAATCCTTACTTTGCTACTACTGTCTACACTAAAAAGGGAAAAATAAAAACTTTTTAACAAAAAAATAAAAACCGACTTCAAACAAAAGCACTAAAAAGTAAAAAATAACTGATTGGTAGTTTTCATTTACTATACATACCTAATCAAATATTTCCGAAGTCGGTGTGCTTTGGCTAAGTAATTAAAGCCTACCTATTAAATACTCGTACATACCTAATGAAATATTTTCGAAATCAGTGCCAGCCCATAAAAAGCAAAGCACGCCGACTTCGAAAATATTAGATTTAGTAAGTATAGTAAATGAAAACTACCAATCAGTTATTTTTTAATTTTTAGTGCTTTTGTTTGAAGTCGGTTTTTATTTTTTTGTTAAAAAGTTTTTATTTGGATTTTTGATTTCATACTAGGCATTTAATCAGTTATTTTTTAACAGAAATAGATTGCTTACTCTAAAATAATAAGAGTAACAATATATTTTATTTAAATATTTAAGGATGGCACGTACGTCAAATCTCTCAACAACAAACTTAACTATGGCGCCATGGTATTTGTGAGGGTGGTCATAGTGTTTGACATGGTGAACTATTTATGTAAAGCCGTTACAATCGCCGTCCGTTATTCCGCTGTAAGGAGACAATCACAGAGGAACCCGGAGTGAGATAATATTTATTTTTATTTACTTAGAATATACGATCTGGTGGTAATTTAAAGGGTAATGTAATGTAAAGAAAAGTGTTAAATCTCATATAATAAAATTCTAACCAAGCCGAACCTGTACATTAAATATTTTTTTAGAAAATCTTATTAAAATAAACATTATTATCGATACAGAGGCCGAACATATAGTTTTTAGAATTTTTGTCTGTCTATTACCGCGTCACGGAAAAACTACTTGAGGAATTTTGATAAAATTTGGTGTGGATGTAGCTGGTTATCCGGGTCAACATATAGGATACTTTTTACCGCGGGAGAATATCTCATTTCTGAGAAAAAGTACAAAAACTGCAATGTAAGAGTATACTAATAGGTAAAACCTAAGAATTTGGTTTTTGATCATCTGAATGCGGGCGGAGCCGCGGGCAATCCTAGTCAATAATATATCTAGATGATATTATGTAAACATCACCAAGTCTTGGTGTTTTGAAGAACAAATCAACTGTTTATTTACCAAACAAATAGAACAGGGACACAAAAGCGACAAAATACTTTCTTAGAATTACGCGAATGTTTGACATTTTTAAATAAAACTATCTTTTCGGATTATTTCGCGGAGAGACGGGGTCTCTCCCGTGACCATGGATGCTGTAAAGCATTCGAAACGTCGGGAATCAAAAATCAAAATAAATCCGCGAAATAATCAGAAAAGATAGTTTCATTTAAAAACTGACTGACTTAGCTCAAACAATTTTCCTTACGTGTGATGACAATAAAACAAGTAATTTGCGAAGTGAAAGTGTAAAAACATTAAAGCATAAATTTATAACTTCAAAATCTAATATAAATTTATCAGTATAAAATTGCAATTCAATCGTTACGATATAACTATTTAGTGACTATTAGTGGAACTGCTTACGCCACTTTTTTTAACGTTGGGAAATGCGTTTAGGCATGAAGTGTGAGACTCACCGGCAAAGCCAGTACTATCCACTAAAACCCGACAAAACCTCCCCCGTCTTAATGGGGCGTCGCTCGCAGGATCGCTTACTCAGTACGCCCACTCAACTACGACACTCGGACGGCAGGTCTGCCAAAGAGGACCACAACAACCATGGGGTTGCTCCACAGTCCACTCTACCAAAGTGGGCCACCTCCCACCGCCCACCGAAGTGGGCCACCTCCCTGAGCGTTTCTTGGCTTCGCGCCCGGCGGGAATGCCGGGCATTAGCGAGCCCCCCCCCACCAAACCAAGGTGAACGCACGTGGGGGGGAGGGGGACTAACACGCCACCTATCCTGACTTGTGAGAACTACTTACTTGCGATCGGCACTGTGCGTTCCTTCGATTAGAATTCGAAAGAGATACTTGCCACCACCAAGAGAGGGCGCTCTTTTTCAATCAACTTTTTAACTTCCAACTTTTCACATAAGATGGAGGAAATAAAAAAGTTCTTAGTAGGTAAACATGTAAAAACGAAAAAGACAGTAAAAAACCGAAATGTTAGAAATGAAAGAAGCCGTTAAAAATACTATTAACAATAATATTAATGAGAAATTTGAACACTTTTTATTGATTTTTTGATCACTGATTTAAACAGAGGATGGCATTTGGTATCAACATTCGTGTTCCGCTCTATATATGTAACTAGGACTGGGGTGACAAGTACCTATTTAAAAAAAGTATAAAAATTTTCACATGACGTACATTAATATTATAAAATTGAAGAAATTAAACTATCTTTTCGGATTATTTCGCGGATTTATTTTGATTTTTGGTTCTCGACATTTCGAATGCTTTACAGCATGCATGGTCACGGGAGAGACTGAGGTGTTACATGTCTTGAAGGTATAGTTGTTACAGACAGCCTACCCACAATTAACAAAATGAAAGATAGGATAAGTTAGGTTTATTTAAAAATGTCAAACATTCGCGTAAATCTAAGAAAGTTAATCAATTGAAGAAAAATAAGTTATTTGTATTATTTATTTGTTTGAAGTTTGAACGCGCTATCCCATTGAATAAATTATAATTAAATTACACAAATAAAGATTTAAAAAGTGTAATTTTTATTTAGAAGAACTTAAGAGAAGCCGCGGGCAAAAGTAGTATATTAACCGCAGTTATAAGTAGTAGTATATTATGTATAGTATAGTACTATCTTATGTCTTTACCAGGGTCTCAAACTATCTTCATACCAAATTGCGTCTAAACCAGTTCAGCGGATTTTTAGTTTATCCATTACAAACAAACTCACAAACTTACAAACTTTACCTTTTTATAATATTAAGTGTAAATACTAAATAAATAAATAAATATTTTGGGATATTAGCACACGACACTATCTAGTACCATAGTAAGCTACGAGGCTTGTGTTATGGATACCAGATAATTGATACACCACACATATAGATATAGCTTTAAATACATTTTTATTATAAATATAATACAAAAAAAAAATAAAAAAATAGTTGATACACTATACTTGTAAAACTTAAATACATACATGTTATAAATATAATATATACTTACATATATAAATATACTTAGCTATATTATATAAGCTCGTCCTATTTTCATTTAGTATTATATTGTTTCTTTAATGTTTATCTCTAACATCTTTTACAAATTGTTTCTTTAACAGTGAACCAGAAAGTCAGATCCTTGATTATTTGACTCAACAGCACAAGTTGTTTGTGGCAATATCGACTTGTCACGCTATACGACTTACAGCGATTAAGCTGTGGGATATTTTTAACGTAATAAATGAAGAACTTATCAACGGCAACTTTGAAAGGCTACCTGAGGTAAAGAATACTGTTTTATATATTAGTAACGACTCACCCCCGCTTCGCTCGGGTTCGTCCCTAGGTTGAATCCCCAGACAAACTTCATCCCCATTTTCACTCCCTCAAGGGATGATTCCGGAATAAAATGATTTTATGTCCTTGCCAGGGTCTGAAACTATCTTTTTACCAAATTTCATCTAAATCGGTCTAGTAGTTTCGGAGCTTATTCGGTACAAACAAACAAAAAATCTTTCTTCCTTATAATATTAGTATAGGTATGTACAGCATAATATTATTCAAAATTAGCATTGAATAATTACAATTTTTACTAAACGTCGTTAGTTGACCACAGTTCGGAAAAAGAAAAACTCTGATTCCTAAGAAGAATATTTGAAAAACTAGCGGCGAAGCGGAATCATCAAAATCAATAATGTTATTAATAATATTTTTTTAATATTTTGGGACATTAACACATAGCACCATCTAGTTCCATGGTAAGCCACGAGGCTTGTGTTATGGATATCAGATAGTTGATACACTATACATATATAACATTAAATACATACTCGTATGTACATATTATAAATATAACTAAACTAACCCAAGACTGAAGTACAAACATTCGTGCTCATCACACAAATCAATGCCCCCAGCAGGATTTGAACCCGCGACCGCTGGCATAGTAAGTAGGGTCACTATAAACTGTGCCAAACGTGTCGTCAAACTATAACTTTCCATATTAATTTAAAGTAAATCATTCCAGCTTCACGCTCTAGCGTGTTGTTTGAAAGCGCTAGTAACATCCGACACGGCGGCGTGCGTTGAGCGCTGCCGGCTGGCGTGCGGCGGACACGGGTACATGCTGTCCTCGAACTTGCCCACTATATACGGGCAGGTCACTGCTGCTTGCATATATGAGGGAGAGAACACTGTGTTATTATTGCAGACAGCTAGGTACGTATAGAGAAAACTTCTCAAATTTAATATACTAAATAGAGGTACACAAGTATGTACATATGTATATTATAGTTCTAATATATCAGATTTTTTATTATTCAGAGTATGATTGTTAGCGAACTTTTGTTACATGGCTACAACAATAGAGTAGGTCAATATGTCAGTTAGCTGTGAACCGCTTTATGGCCACTCCACACTGTAAATGCCGATCACAGCCCGTTCTCGGTCCGATATCGGCCTGGTAAAGTATTTCTATACAAGAAACGTTGCTGGAGCGAGATTCGACCGGAACTTGAGTCTTACTGATTGTGTAAATGCACTCATTATTTCTTGTATAACAATACTTTACCAGACAGATATCGGACCGAGAACGGACGGTCGTCTGTGATAGGCATTATAGTGTGTAGCGGCCCTTATTTTTTAACTTTAGAAATGTATTAATTGTCTGTACACCCGTAGAACAGATGGTTAGGTGATTCATCGGTTGGAAGAGCCAGTACTACACACTAAAACCCAACTGAATCTTCCCTGTCTTAATGAAATCTGTGCTATACTCGTACCTTAGGGCTTAGATGGTTATAGACGTCACTTTTGAATGTGAGTTTTTGGTTGTAAAAAAATAAATTAGATATTGTTGCGAAGGGTCTACCACCAACCTAAAGGTACATACATACTCATATTTGCGATAACTCAAGAACAGTAGCATTGTTAGGTAAAAACAACGTACATATATGTAATTTTTGCTAGAATTATGTGTGCTTAATAATGGTCTAACGTCTGTATATTTAATAATATGTATATTATAAAACATATCAATTTCAAAAATAATATATTACAGGTTAAAAATATTAGTTTATTGATATTAACATATTTCTGTATACAACTTATTTCGTCTTGTCTCATAATAAATTATTTTTTATATTTCATTATAGGTTTTTAGCAAAAACTTGGCAACAGGTGGATAGTGGGAAATTAACACCGACAGTTGAATATTTAAGCAGAGTCAGAAAGGAAGTCTATCAAAAATGGGAGAACTCCGTCGAGTGTATAATTCGTGGTTTCCAAATTGTTTCGATGAGGTAAAGTGTTTTTAAATATATATCATGGTATATACGAGTACATAATGAAGCCCTTATATATAAATTACTAGCAGACCCCGCGGCTTCGCTCGCGCTAAAACTACACGAAAAAACTCCAAGGTAGGTTTCATCCCCTATTTTACCCTAAGAGGGGATGAAATTCGAAAAATGCTAAAATACGTATTTATTTAATTGTATTGAAGAGCATACCAAGTTTTAAGCAATTCGGATCATAAATAATTTTTGGGCTTGTATTATAACCTGTTTTCCCGCTATATCCCGATAATCTCCCTTGGTCAAAAGTAAAAGTAGCTTATGTCACTCTCCAGCCTTCCAACTATCTCCACACAAAAAATCAGGCCAATCCGTCCCTCTGTTTCGACGTGAAAGAAGGACAAGCAAACAAACAAACACACTTTTACATTTATAATAAGTATGGATGTATTAAATTTTCCAGTATTACACTAGATTGGTTTTAATTATTTTGTGTTTTTGTTTTGTGTTTGAAGTACTAGCAACTTACCCTCGGTTTACTCTAGTACGTTTAGATGTCTCACAGGTAGCGCCATCTTTTAGAAATTTTGTTTACTAAGAGTAGCCTATATGTTATTCCAGGTCAAAGTCGGTCTGTATCCAAAATTTCATCCAAATCAACCCAGCCCTTTTATCATGTAAGAGTAACAAACATACACGTACACATATAAATATATATATACATATATACATTAAAAGGTATGTATAAAAATATTTTAAGTTAATTAAAATCATTTACAGAAAAATTGCTTCATGTGTGGATAACATGCAGAAGAGAGTTGCTACAGGGATGTCCTTCGAAGACGCGTGGAATATTACCTCAGTGCAATTAACTAATGCGGCGGAGGTAAAACGTCTCTATCTTTTTCTAATGCAAAATGAATTGAATGACTCTAAGCAATAATAAATAAGATTTTGAATTTCTTTAAAATGTTGTATTCAGACCTTTTTATTGTCCCACTGCTAGGCACGGGCCTCCCTTCAGTACAAGGGGAATCAGGCTATAATGGAATACGCCTCTTTTGCAAACTTGCTAGGTTCTCTCAGACATGCAGGTTTCCTCACGATGTTTTCCTTCACCGTTAAGACAAGTGGTAATCATGTTGGACATGATTCGCACATGAAAATATCAGAGGTGCGAGACCCGGGATTTGAACTCGCTTCACTCGGTTTCCCAAGCGAGCGCGTTACCACTGGGCTACCACTTGCCTTAAAATGTTACAAAATTCAAATTAATAAGTTGAGTAATATTAAACCAGTCTATCCTAGAACGTAAAAGACAGTATAAAAATGCGCACAATATTATAGTAGTTGAGCGTTTTTGATCTTAAGAGGAGTTCCGTTTATCCTAAGTCTCAATAATTCTTTATTTAGATCTTTTGTTGTACATATTCTCTTGTATGTCAAGCACTATTTTCACTTGAGGGATTTAGCTCTGTTAACTGAAATACACGTTTGGCTCAGTTTGAAGTGACCCTACTCGCTGTGCTAGCGGTCGCGGGTTCGAGTCCCGCTGGGATGTGATGAGCACGAATGTTTGTACTCCAGTCATGGGTGTTTATATTTATAATTTGTATATATTTAAAGTTATATATGCGTAGTGTATCAACTATCTGGTATCCATAACACAGGCCTCGTAGCTTACCATGGAACTAGATGGTGCTGTGTGTTAATGTCCTAATATATTTATTTATTTTATATTTATTCAGCTACAGTTGCTACATTCACTTAATAATATTTTTGGCGTAAATAAAAGAATGTGGAATAAAAAACTACGCATGATATTCGAGAGGCTTCATCAGCATCCCATCTCATCTGACTTGCGGCACACGATTGTCCGGTCTAGACGCTTCCGATAGACGAGTTTCATTCATGGATAGTGAACTGTGATTACTATTCCGCCGTCATAAAAAAGGCCGCAACTTCGTCAAAGTTCATTTCCAGATATTTGAAGTTTTGTCTTACTACTACGGCAAAATTACTACTAGTTTTGACGTAGTTACGATGGAAATGGTTATTATGGTATCTCCTTATTCATAAGACTTAGAGCTTTATGAGTAAGACTATTAAGTAGCATTTTTTTTCTGATTCAGAATCTGCAATTAAGTTATTTTTGACCAAATTGTTAGTTACGGCTTTCTATAATATGACGGCATTATTTTTACAAGCTTTTATTTAACTTGCAATATTTGTATGTTTGTTCGGGTCGAATCTTGCATTAAAGCAGTTACCTATCCTCAATCTAATAAGCTGAAATTTTGCATACATGCTTAGTTTGGATGCAATGAATGATTAGCTAAGTGACGTCATTCTAAATCCAATATGGCGGACTCCCAAAGATGGCGGACTAGTCTTTTTTATGCACTCCCATGATATAGATATCAAATGAAAGGGTGTGCTGAGAAGAATACGAATAAATAACTAAAAATAAACTAATAATAAAAAACATTTTTTTAAATGGTAAAAAAAGCTTCTTTAGTTTTTATTTCAATGCTCTAAAAAGAAGTAAATAAACTTTTAATTATAAACAAACTTATATGATATAAAATGTATATGATTTAAAAGATTGTATTTAAAAATGATTTTTTTTACTAATTCTTTATTCAAATATTTTTTCACTATCATTATTTCAGGCTCATTGTAGGGTGATCATGTTATCGACATTTAATGAAGAGATCAACAAATACTCACTAACTGTATCTCCGGAACTGCGCGTAGTTCTGAAGCAGATGGTAGAGTTGTACTCTCTGTATTGGGCTCTAGAAAAACTGAGCGACTTGTTACAGGTAAAATATTACTTGATACACTAATTTTATAAAAAAATAAAGTTTGTAAGAGAGTGTGTTTGTTGCTTTTTCACTGTAACTGTCTGTCTAATCTGATTTCGAGTTATAACGAGAATGGAGATAGCTTATATTTCGTCGTATCTACGGCACGAGCGTAAATTTTTACACTACTATTATTATAAAATCGCTAGGACTTTCCCTCACTTCGCTCGGGTGCCTCCCTAGCTTGTTTTAAATTTTTGAGCGGAACTCTAATTCCGCCTTAGTTACTCATTATAACATCAGCTATATGCCAGTGAAAGTCCAGCCAAAATCAATCCACCCGTTTCGGACTTAGCCGGAAAAAATTAAAAAAATGTGTTTTCAACAGTAGGTATATGCATTAATTAAAAAGCTTTTATTTCGACATTACAGACACTTCAATTTTACTTAATATCTGTATAGATAAGAAAGTTCCTGTGTGTATATATATTTGTTATAACTTCACAATGAAACTGTGTTCCTATCTATCTATCTGTCTGTCTGCCTGTCAAGACCCTTTTTGTCAGGAATGCATGGAGGAATCAAGTTGAAATTAATATCAAATACTCAAGTCTCCAATGCCTTGGAGCTGTGAGAAAATTAAACTTCTCAGTCAATGCAATTAAAAAATAGAGCTGCTTATGTCGCATATTGTGAAACTTATTAATAAATATTTAATTATATTGTTCTAGTACACTACAATAACTTCCCAAGATGTAGAAGAACTCCGGTCTTGGTATGAAGAGACTCTTTTGAAGTTACGACCCAACGCTGTTGGTTTGGTTGACGCATTTGATTTACGGGATGAGGTAAATTTTTAATTATAAATATTATTATAACACAATGTAGGAAAAAATATTTTTATAGCTCTTGTATTTTTCTAAATAACAAGCGACTGTTTATGCAACGTTACAGTGGTATGCTTACAAAATGACAAGTAAATGATAATGGCCAGTCAAATCAAAATATAATTTATTCAAATAAACCTTTACGAGCACTTTTGAATCGTCAATTTTACATTTTTTAAATTAAATGTCAGTATATAAATCCGTGACGAATATAACACGCCTTCCATTTCATGCTTCCATGTGAAAGAAATTTGGCGTAAAGCACCTATTATTATCATTGCTAGCGGCTCATCCTTGCTCCACACGGGGTCGTTTTAACGTTTAGTATATTTCTCAGAGATGAGAAATTGTCCTGCAGTAAAAAGTATCCTATATGTTGACCCGGATAACCAGCTATCATCATACCAAACTTCATCAAAATCTGTCCAGTGATTTTTTCGTGATGCGACAAAAAAACAGACGGACGGATGGAAAAAGAGACAGACAGACAGACGAAACATTCTAAAAACTACAGATTTGGCCTATATCGATAATAATGACTATTTCAATAAAATTTCCCAAAAAATATTTAATGTACAAATTCGACTCAGTTGTTGTTGTTCTTGTTGTTGTATTCAGCCCTTTTTAACGTCCCACTGCTGGGCACAGGCCTCCCTTCAATACGAGAGGGATCAGGCCATAGTCCACCACGCTGGCCAAGTGCGGGTTGGTGGACTTCACATGTCTTTCGAAAACTTGTTAAGTTCTCTCAGACATGCAGGTTTCCTCACGATGTTTTTCCTTCACCGTAAGGCAGGCAGGGGAAGGTATAGATTATTTATATTCATATTAACTTCAATAGTTTTCAATTTAATACTTTCTTAGATTTACGCGAATACTTGACATTTTAAATAAAACTATCTTTTCGGATTTTTTCGCGAATTTATTTTGATTTTTGGTTCCCGACGTTTCGAATGCTTTACAGCAATCATGGTCACGGGAGAGACTGAGGTGTTAGATGTCTCTAAGGTTTAAAGTTTTCTCTTTATTTTCAGGTCCTTATGTCCACCCTGGGTTCGTACGATGGTCGTGTGTACGAACGGTTAATGGACGAAACAAAGAAAAACCCTCTTAATAAGGAAACAGTCAATTCTACATTTCACAAATACCTCAAACCATTTATGAGAGGAAAATTGTGATATATACATTAAATATATTAACAATTTGTATTTAAAACGATTACACGGACAAAGTATAGTGTCTGCGTTATTGTTTGTATGAAAAAAAATGTTATTTAGTATTTATTACAACTTAAGACTTATGACGAAATAAATAGAGATATATGTGGTGGTAGAATAAGAAGACTCCCTATTGGATAGTCGTAGTGCATATTGTTAAAGCATTTTATATAATGCCTGATCGTCGTGCGGTAGATTTTCCTAGTATGATACAACTTTTTAAAATGTCATCCTCTACGTAATTTTCATTAGAAATCCATAGCTAAAAGGCACTAAGTACAAAGTTAGTACTATGTGTTAGATGGATAAAAATATCGCCTCTGTTTAGTGTCGCCTGATGCGGCCGCGTCTTCGCAAATTTCATCATAGCACCGCGGTCCTGCCTGAATCCTGTAGGACAATATGGTTTTTATAAAAGTGCCTTCTAATTTAATCAGATGTGTGCTATTTGAACGCTATTATTAGCTTTGTATGTTTAATGTTATAAAGAGGTAGTTTGTAAGTTTGTATGTAGCGTATAATCTCTGAAACTACTGATCCGTTTCTAAAAATTCTAACTACCTTTCACTAATAGGAAGCTACATTACCGCCAAATGCTATAGGCATTTCTATAACCATAAAAAAGGTTTTATTTTGAAAAGTTAAACAATTGAAATCAAAAGTAAAGTGGCAGTTGAATTGCTTCACTGGCTAGCATTACCAAAGCAGTTTGAAATAAGGCAATAAAATGTCTGAGAAAATGTCCTCCAGAGACGACGTTGCACCCGAGTGAAACGAGGTTAAGTCGCTAATAATATTTTTTGGATTTCTACTATATGCTTTTGCATTCCTTTATGTAGTTCATAGTTGTTTTGGAAAATTTTAAAAGATTTATCGTAGTCACGTTGGTGTTTTATAAGAATTTACTTTATCTATTTTTTTATACTAGAATTTTTCTGTGTTTATTTATACACGGAAGTATTTGGTTCTAATTAAAATAAACGTTGAAAGAAAATGTTGTTTTCGACTGTATCAGAGAAATGAAAATTAAATCAATGATTGTTGGCTGTTTAGCCTACATCCTTCGCCTACCAATAAAAACATACTCATTCATTTGTAATATTATATGATTTACTTAGTAAAAATGAAACTTGTATTTTAATATTTTTATAAGATTTTTTTTTAAATGTGGTTGTGTATTTCATTGTACCAAATTGAGATGCTTCTAAATAAATGAAGTAATATTTTTAATATGAAGTTTAATTTATAAATACAATTAACTTTTCGGATTATTTCGCGTATTTATTTTGATTTTTGGTTTTTTCGCACATATATATTTTTAGGAGTTTTACCTCTAACTTTCACCATTTTCAACTTGTAATCTAAACTACATTAGTGAAGTATTGATTGCATATAGCTTGCATGAGAGAATTTCTTTTCGCAGTTAGAGTTATTTGCAGGTCGCAGACTTGACATTGTTAAATTATTGGAGACCTAAGAACGTTGATCTTTACGTGTCGCCATTGTATTCAAAATATTGGCTTTTGTAATATTCATTATAACTTTATCATTATTAAAATATTGATGTGTAAAATAAGGTTACAGCATGATTTACAAATCATTTTGATTTCATTTTTTTGAAGTGAAAACTTCTATAGGCAGGTTTGGATGGGGAGTAAATTCATGTACAAGTCGTCATCGACATGGTCACGTGACGTGTTAACGCTATTTGAGCACTTTGAATATCTAAAAATAACAACTGTTTCTTTATAGTTTTACGTTTTCAATTCTGTCGGCAGTCCTCATGACTGTTTTTTTTTGTTATCATGCCAATTGATGACTTGGCCTAGTACCTACGTTTAAAAACGAGTTTCATTTTGCCCCATGAAAGAATTCGAAACGTAATTTTTCATTGTGGATATTATTAAATTAGATCTTGTTTTGATATTGTATTGGGTCTCAGTTCTTTTAATTTTTTATTTTATTTATGTTGTATAAAAAGTTTTGTGTTCGCCTCTTAACCGTTTATTTTTATAGCGCAATTGATAAGTTTGGTAGTTTTTTTTACAAGACACAAATCTACGATGTTGATTTTATAATAATATTCATAATGACAGTATAAATATGTCAGTCGTGTTATCAAGAAGTATAGCGACATATAAATCATTTATATCGGATAAGCCGTTTAGAAACAGCAAGGTGTTCACACTACAATTTAGTATACCCGTGACCATGGCGCTTGTAACAGTGTCAAAATATCAGTAATTTATAAAAGTAAGTGAGCAACACGATACATAATATCCTATTTAACATCATAAAAATGACGTCCTTTTTGTGTGTATCAATGCTTAGGCCAAACTGAGTTTGAAGGATTGAAATTTTAATATCTATATCACTTCATATCATTTACCGCCGAAAAGTATTTTCTGACATTCTACCTCCTCATAAAAATATTTTTCAAGCATCAAATTAGAAAAAAACGGTCGGGTAAAGCCTTCGGCTGCTAGCGGTTAATATTAATTGTAAGCATATTTTATCTGACCTTTTTAATAAAGTAAAATTCACAAAGAATATCTTATCTTTTTAAATTGGATAAAAAGGTAATAAATTAATTCTTGTGCATGCAATATATTTTTGAAATAATGATTAACACCTCCAGGTAAATTTCTAAACAAATAATTAAATTTCTAAGAAGTCTATTGTTAACTGTAACGCCGGCGTGTCCGCAGTCGTGGAGGGATTAAACTTTCAAAATATGTCACTGCTGACTACTAGCGACTAGTACTCGACACACGTACAGCAACTCGTCTCTAGCTTTAAAGTTTAGTATAGATTTCTCAGAGATGAGATATTTTCCCGAAGTCAAAAGTATCGTTTATGTTAACCCGAATAACCAGCTATCATCACATCAATTTCATCAAAATCTATCCAGTGGTTTTTTCTATGATGCGTTCCCAGACAGACAAGACAAAAATTTTAAAAACTATAGGTTCGGCCTCTGTATCGATAATAATGACGATTTTTATAAGATTTTCCAAAAAATATTTAATGTACAGATTTGGCTTAGTTACAATTTTATTACATGTATAGAAATGATGGCACAAATTCAGAATTGGGGACTTGGCCCCTAGCGGAGTGGGTGGTATTTCTGGATAAGGGACGTAATAGGGAGTCGAAATGTTAAATAAATTTTCCATACATTTTCATATATTTCTTTACCACCATTCGGAGTGGGTGGTATTTTTAGATAGGGGAGGTGACAGAGAGTCAAAATATATTAAAAATATTTGGAGGAAACGTACGACTAAAAAGTTATTGAGACTTAAAGTTATAACATATCTAACACATTTCCATACATTTCTTTACCTAAATAAGTGATTACAACAGATAAACATACCTTTAACGAATAGTACGCATCCTTTTTTATGTACATTACACATTTTCACAACAATTAATGCTTTATTGTATTTAATATTTTAATAATTTCACAACACAAACAAAATGATCTTACATTTTGACAAAAGCAAAACTGACACTTTGTTTTATATTACCGCTTAAATGACAACAGATTATTTTTGATTATTTTTGCTTTTTCTGTTGGTAAAATATTAATATTAATAAATAAATAAATAAAAAGAAAAAATATTATTTTCACTTTATAAATACATTTATAACTTTTTATTTGATTTATGTAAAATATATTGTTTTACAATTGTACATTTAGTAAAAAAAATCATTTTTTTATCTGTGAATATTTTTAATTATTTATTTATTATTCGTCATATCTGGGTTAGGTTAGGTTAGAACATTTAAGATTATTTATTTATTATTCCTCATATCTGGGTTAGGTTAGGTTAGAACATTTAAGATTATTTATTAATTATTCGTCATATCTTGGTTAGGTTAGGTTAGAACAGTTGCCACAACGCACGAGCCGAGCGAGCGAAGCGAGCGTGCCGCGGTAGCGGCCGGCGAGTGCCATAAATGACTAGAAAACTAGAAAATTCGAATTTCACGCAAAGTACAAATAAAGACAATCATCTGGAGATCATTTTGACAATTGAAAGTGACGTTTTGACTCCAAGTGTCTAAATGGTAGTAATGTCAAAATAATGTATGGAAATGTTATAACTTTAAGTCTCAATAACTTTTGACTCTTTTGTTGTATTAAAAAATTTATTTAACATTTCGACTCCCTATCACGTCCCTTATCCAGAAATACCACCCACTCCGCTAGGGGCCAAGTCCCCAATTCTAAACGGCCGCCGAAATGATTTTAAGAGAGAAAATAACTAGAAAATATTTCGAGTTTTAATTACTTGTTGAATACTACACTTGTTTTGATACCTGCATTCTTCGAGAATCTTTTGATCATTTTCATATAATAAAAGTGTAACTGATCGCTGTCTGTACATGGAAGATATTTAAGAAAAACTATTATTAGGGGTCTTTATTAACGCAATAATGCGTTTGTGCGCGCTAATCTCAGAAATGGCTTAACCGATTTGGGTGCGGTTTTCACTAATGTATTGTGGTAAGCCTCAGTTAACATTTAGTATTTGTTTTACTTCAATCGGTTCATAAATAAAAAGTTATGTCACGGATAAAAAAAGATAAAAGTAAACGTTTAGAAATTGTAGAAAACAATTGATTGTTTTTTAGATTTAGGTAGGTCATTATCTACATACCTATATACATAATTATATGTGGTATGATCAAAATGCACATTTGTTATACGTTTGTCTATACTAATTTTATAAAGAGGTTAAGTTTGTGCGTTTGTGACGTTGTAGGGGGTAATCTCTGAATCCACTGAACCGATTTAGATGAAATTTGGTAAGAAGATAGTTTGAGACCCTGGGAAGGACATAGGATACTTTTTATCTCGGAAATCATGGGTGACCATGGGGACCGGTGAAAATGGAGATGAAAGTTTGTATTGGGAAGCAAAAAAATAAAAACCGGTTTCAAGAAAAAACCCTAAAAAGTAAAAAAAAACTGATTTGTAGTTTTCATTTACTACCGATATCTAATCAGATATTTTGGTGCCAGCCGATACAAATCAAAGCACACCGACATAGAAAATATCTGATAAGGTAGGTATAGTAAATAAAAACTGCCAGTCAATTATTTTTCACTTTTTGGTGTTTTTTTTGAAGTCAGTTTTTTTAAGTTTTATATATTTTAAAAGTAAGTGGGATGAACGTGGCAGCCTACGAATAAATAATAAGTCAGGAAATGTAACTGCGTTAAAAAAACGACCCAACAAAAGTCGTGTCCTAGTAGGCGGGGCTTAAAAGTCGTGTCCAGCGCGTCATCAGTCGGACTTTATTCTTACAAGCGAGCATATGCCAAATTTGTCAAATGTCGCGTACATTTAAATTTTTATCATTGTGAACTACAGCTGTGAATCATCATGTTGTCAGCAATCAGCATGTTTTATGAGGTGTTGCAGGAGCCACGCAACAGTAAAATGTCCAGGTCCAGTTACTTTTCACTAGGAAGTAGTAGCAAAATTATAATAATTATATTATTCAAAGATGTTCAAATGACAAATATGTTGTCAAATCGTGATGGCCAATAATATGCAACATGAAGTCAAGCAATTTTTGACCTAATTTAGAAAGTTTTTTTTCTTCTTGATGAAAATAAATTGAAAAAGAAAAAGTAAATCGGTACAATTTAGATAATTTATAATAGTAATGTTTTTTGCTTATTTTGTTTAAAATACCGTAGTACCAGTTTGTACAGTAAGTACTGTTTTATTATCAAAATAATTACGTTAGTATATCAAATCTGAAATTAAACCGTTTTGTTTTACGCAGGTGATTCGTCCCGAAGAAACGTCGACATCTTTAAGAGGTACTACAGAAAATAAAAAAATAAACAATATTGAACGATTACAGTTAACATGTAATGTAGATTCGGCTTTTTAGACTTGTGGTAATTTCTCTTTTAATGTCTTCTAGATAATTTTTTTTTAAATTAATCTTATTTCGCGAGACATAGAGTTCATTGAATTGTAAAAAGTAACCCATAAAATAATAATATAATAATAAAATATTGTACAATACTATGGTTTTATTATTGACTTGGTCCGGTCCACTTTTTGCACAATATCGTTCACGTCGCTATGACTCAGTCATAGCAGACATTGCAGCACGCGCGCAAACCAATCCCTGCTTTCGGTCTGAATTTAAACCAATCACCAAGCATGTCTGTTTGTAATCTCAGAAGTGATTCGTATTTTAATCATACGTCGTTTTGGTTTGAAGTAGGGCCACTTTTTGTGTGGAATTTGTTTTGAAATTAGACTACCTGACTTATTATTTATTCGTAAGTGGCCGCCACCATATTGTTCGACATTTTCTTTATTTTTAAGGAATATGTAATGATTACAAAGTACATATATTATATAAAGTTATGTAAATATACATTATAACAATACTTATTACATATATTATCATTTAAATATTATGATAATATAAACAACTTTGTCGAGTTATAGCATATATAAGCAATAGCAAATTAATTTTATGTTTTGTATCAGCAAGGATAAGATGGCTGAAGTTATCAATAAAGACCTTGTGAAGGAGAGAAGAAAATGTACATTCAATACTGAAGAACTCACTCATGTTATTGATTGTGGAGAAGATAAGACTCAAGATAGACGGAATATCGGTAGGTACTAGGCTTAGTTTATTAAAGGGTTAAGTTATTATTTTTTTAATTTCAATTCGTTCCATTAAATACACAATAGCTCTGTAATGGTTTCCGCTTTAGGAATTAGTGAGTAAGCATGGCACAGTCCCTTGCCATTTTTTCCCCAGTGATATGATTTTTTTTTATTTTTTTTTATTTTTTTTATTTAAATGATGCAATAAACAATTTTATCTAAATTTATTTTGAATTTACGCTCTTTTCGTGAAAGTATTTGATTTAAACATTATAAAAAGTTTGGCGTTCTCTGTTAAATTTTTCCAAAAATTGACAGAGCTAGCCTAAGCCAATAAGTATTGTAATACCAAATTATAGGGTTATTATTATTAAATATATTTTCATTAATTTTAGAGAAGCTCGTATTAAGTGTAAAAGAGTTAAAAGATGAGGTGCCAGAAGAATACATGAGTTACAAAGAAAAATATGAGAACGTGATCCGAAAGAGTTGCATAATGTATGAGTTGTTTCATAACTTGAAAAATACCAATCTTCATGAAATGGAGTATACGTAAGTGTTCAGTTCAGATCAGTTTTCTAAAGCCATTGATTCACAAGCGCTCTTTCTATGTTATGTACTCTATCTTTATCTAATTAATTATATATTAGTTACATATATTATACAACATATTACTTATAATTTACATAAAATAATTGTTTGTTTGTCCGTTAACCCTTGCAGTTAAATCCTTAATCGATGTGAAGTGCATTTTGTACGTCTAGATATTAAGTTTTATTTCGAAAAGGAAAGTTTCTGCTGAAAATAGTTAATATGAAGAGTACCTGGGCTGGCGATCTTCGCTCGGATTTTTGGCCTGAAGTACAATTTTCTTTTTTTTTAAAAAGAATAAAAACTTGAATAAATATTAAAAAAAAACAAAAGTAAAAACTGTGTATGCGACTGAGATTCGAACCTGGACACTTGTGATTGTTGATCTTGCACTTTGGCCGCTTGACCACGCTTCTTATACCCGAGCGTACAAATTAGCGACCATATTTTGCTTGCAATAATTCAAAAGAAAACTGCATGAAAACTCGGAAACACGCGTTTTCTCAGATATAAGACTAATCTAGATTGATTTAACGCCCCCGAAACCCCGTGTGTACTAAATTTCATGAAAATCGTTGGAGCCGTTTTCGAGATTCATAGTATATATATATATATATATATATATATATATATATACAAGAATTGCTCATTTAGGATATACAATACGATTTTTTTTTCATTACTTTATATTCATTTTTTTATCAATCCTTCCTTTGATAAAAATAAATAACAATTATTATACTAAAAATTGTTTTCAGGGTGCTCTAAATTCTATAAAAAATGAAGTTCTTACTAGATTACTTATTACTTAAGTATTATTTTCTTAAAAAAAACTTATATCTATTAAAATGTGATATTGGTTTCTAGGCCAACAAACAAATTTAGGGTCATTCAAGGGATTGCACCGAATGTAGATCCATTTTTAATTCATTTCGTATTGTTCTTACCTAACATTGTGAGTCAGGGAACAACTGAACAGAAGGCTGAATGGACGAAACAAGGTTTTAAAATTCTCGGCACGTATGCACAGGTATGTACTACGCCGAAAATCATTTCAAATTAAATACTTCTAAAAACGTCTTTAGTTCAATATAGTTGATTATCAAAATATAATTGTGACTGTGGGCTTACTTTTGAATCTACAATTTATAATATTATGTTCATCAAAGTTGCAAAAATAAAGCAAAAAAATAGCTAGTTTGAGAATTTTTTTTTGGTTTAAATCTTGAAACATGAAAAAAATGACTTATCTTCTTCCAGTTTGAGTCACTGAGTTACTTGTAGACTAGTAACTGTTGTAAAAACCTAAAAAGGCAGTGGTAGCCCAGTGGTTACGCGCTCGCTTAAGAAACCGAGTGAAGCGGGTTCAAATCCTGGATCTCGCACATCTACAGAACAAAACGTCGTGAGGAAACCTGTATGTCTGAGAGAGCCTAGCAAGTTTTCTAAAGACATGTGAAGTCCGCCAACCCGCACTTGGCCAGCGGGTGGACTGTGACCTAACCCCCCTCATATTGAAGAGAGGCCCGTGCCCAGCAGTGGGACGTTGAGAAAGACTGAATACATAGTAACTGTTAAGTTTATTGTTGGATGTTATAATATTTTTATATAATATTTCAGACAGAACTCGGTCACGGTACATTTGTAAGAGGTTTAGAAACAACTGCAACGTTTGATGTCGATACGGATGAGTTTATAGTTAACAGCCCAACAATCACATCTTACAAATTTTGGCCCGGCGGTTGTAAGTGCTTAGTTTTTTTTATTACATTTAAGGGCTGAAAACAGTAGAGCTGACAACTAATGATACCAGTTACTAATGATAATTTCTTTTTACACTATATGATGTTTACATATAATATACTAGCGGCTCTCCCTCACTTTGCTCGGGTTCACTTCTAGATAAACAAAAATAAACCTATCCCACGGGAATCGTACATTTTTCCGGAATAAAAAGTAGCCTATACATTATTCCAAACTATAATCTATCTCTGTGCCAAAATTCATTCTGATCCGTTTAGCCGTTATGGCGTGAAAGAGTAACAAACATCCATACATCACAAACTTTCACATTTATAATATTAATATATAATAATTGAATAATAATACGGATAAAGGCTGTCGTGGATGATAATAGAATAGCGATTGAATATGTTATACTCGTAGTTATACTTGTAAAAAATGCGTCTCTTATTAAGAGCTCTCCTAAATTTCTCATTTTTTTACTATGTGTTAAAAATTCGCCATAAAAATACGTAACACAATCAAACAGATCATGGATAGAATTGGGGTTGAACCTTAAAACTATCACTTTCAATTATTTCAGTGGGTCACACAGTGAACACGTGTATCGTAATGGCACAGCTCTACATCCATGGCAAATGTCATGGCCCTCACTTATTCGTTGTTCAAATAAGAGATTTTGACACTCATGAACCTCTGCCGGGCATCAAAGTGGGAGATATTGGACCAAAGATGGGGTATAATACAGTTAATAATGGTTTTCTAGGATTTACAAATTTTAGGATACCCAGAAAGAACATGTTGATGAAAAATGCTCAAGTTTCAAGAGTAAGAACATTTTTTTTATTTCCATACATCGTAATGAATATCCCTCAATTTTTGAATTCCCATATTTGTGTGTTGAATGATGTTTTCCTCGTTAAGATAAAATTCTATTCGTTTAATTATGAAAAAATATCAATAATTATTGTTTGTAGCTTAACGAATGATGTAGTTCATTCTATAAAATTGGTATGAAAAATGCCCCCTTTCTTTTTTAACGTTGGAAAATGCATTTATGCATACCACCTGCATACAAACGTGCCTGCCTACAAAATGGGAATCACTGGCTAGAGATGCCAGTACTACTTACTAAAATCCAACAATATCTTCCACGTCTTAATCTATTGAAATCGAACGGACCCCATGCGTTCTCGTCTTGAAAATGGGGCGCCGCAGGATCGCTTGCGCACTCAATTACGATGTCCCGACGGCAGGTCTGCCGAAGCAGACCACAACAACTATGGGGTTGCTCCAACAATCCACTCTGCTATCAGAGGAACACCAGGAGCAACTCACATGGCACACCACCCACCGAGGTGGGCCGCATCCCAGTGCGTTTCTTGGCTTCACGCCCGGCTAGATTGCTGGACTTTAATCAGCCCCCCACCACGACAAGGTGAACGTACATTTGGGAGGGATAAAAAATGCCACCTGTATGGAGGCAGCTAAATATAAATATGTAAGAATTACATTTAAAAATGATGATTTTAGGATGGCACTTACGTTAGAAATAATACTGAAAAATTAATATACGGATCAATGTTATTGGTTAGAACGCAAATATTAAATAATGTAGCGTTCCACGTATCCGTCGCTTCTACTATAGCGATACGATACTCTGCAGTCAGACACCAGTCACAGTTGAAGAGAGGGTAAGAAAATTATATTTGCCTACTTAAAATTGAAATCAAATTAGGTTTTTTATATACCAGTTTTAAGATTTGAGATTTTAAGTATAATTCAAAACAGATCTTACTTTTTTGTATATAGTAATCCTTATTTTGATTATTTTGTCAACAATTTAGTTAGACAGACCAACATCTTCTATACGAGCTTTGCTTTTTTTTACATTCTTCTTTTACGTTAGGTACTTTTTTTACGTTCGACACGAAAATGGTTTGGATTCATTTGAATATTTGCGAGAGTCTAATGCACATTTGGTTAAAAGCTTGTTTTTTAGCTTTTTAAAATATGTATAATTCACTATCCGATACATAAACAGTCGTATTCTAAATTTATATATTTTCAAAAATAAACTAAAAAAGAGCATGACTTTTACAAATTCGACTTTCTCGTATACAAGTAATTTTCGTCTTTTAAAAAAATTAGTCTTTATAATAAGAATTTTTATAATTCTTTATAATTTAATAGTGAACCAGAAGTCCAAGTGTTGGATTATGCAACCCAACAACATAAGCTTTTTATATCGGTTGCATCAAGCCACGCCTACAGGCACGTGGGGCTATGGATGTGGGAAAATTATAATATAATCATAAACGAGGTTACAAAAGGAAATTTGGAACGTCTATCTGAGGTAAGGTTAGGTTAGTTATTCAAAATCTTTTTAATATCCATTACTATATAATTATTTATTTTAAGCTGAAAAGTTGAAAAAAAGTTAATAATAAAAAAAAAACTTGAAAATCAATTATTCTACCATTAAAGTGGAATATTTTCTAAAATGAATATGATACCTTCATATCTATTCTCTCCATACTAATATATAAATGCGAAAGTAACTCGGCCTGTCTGTCTGTCTGATTATCTGTTTCTGTTACCTTTTCACGCTTAATCCGCTCAACCAATTTAGACTAAATTTGGTATGAAGATAGTTTGAGATCCTGGGAAGGACATAGGTTAGTTTTTACCCCGGAAATTATACCATAAGGGGGTGAAAAGCGGGGTGAACAATAAATTAGCTTAAAATTTTAATTAGAATAAAGAATTAGAAGAAAGAAGGACATAATCTATTTTATCAGAATCACAGGGCGTAGGTCGAAAAATAGTATATTTGATGCCCTCTAATTTCCTTAGATCCCTTAGATTTGTACAAAGAATAACTATATTACCTTTTAAATATATCTATTTCTCATTTTAGTTGCACGCGTTATCATGTTGTTTGAAGGCAGTTGTTTCTCGAGATGGGGTAAACATTGTCGAAGAGTGTCGCTTTGCTTGTGGAGGTCACGGCTACTTACTCTCATCTAACTTGCCAGGTGTCCGCAGTAATTTAGCAGCTATAGTCACTTACGAAGGAGAATATACAATTCTTTTATTGCAAACTGCCAGGTTCGTTAAATTCTTTTAATATATATATATTAGACGTTAATTGTTACGTTGTTGACGTTAATAATTTGTTAAGTTGTTATTTTAAATATATAAAAAGATTTGTTTACTAATTAAGTTTTTTAAAGCAGTATTAACTTAAAAATCTGTACTAATTAAATTCACGTATGTACCAAGGATTTTGTGCCATAAATATTATTAAATTCGTGTAACAGAAACAAAATATTTCAGCTTGCATAATTTGTTAGCTTCCGGTTGAAATGGAGTACCTATTAAGCATTCATAATATTAATTTTATGAATGTATTACCTCTGTACCTATATAAATATTATAAATATGAAAGTTTGTGAGTATTTATGGATGTTTGTTACTCTTTCACGCCAGAATTGCTAAACAGATCTGGATGAATTTTTGCATAGAGATAGATTATAGTCTGAAATAACACATAGGCTCCTTTTTATCCCGGAAAATATACGTTTCTCGAGGGATAGATTTGTTTTTGTCTTTTAGGTGAACCCAAGCGAAGCGAGGGTGAGCCGCTAGTTATATTGTGCTTTACAGTTTACATAGATTATTATTAAAAGTTACACTTACATAAATAAAACTGTCTTTTCGGTTTTTTCGCTTATTTGTTTAGATTTTTGATTCCCGATGTTTGCTACAAACAACAAGTAGGTATATACCTTTGAGACGTCTATAACCTTAGTCTCTCCCGTGACCTTGAATACTGTAAAGCATTCGAAACGTCGGAAACCAAAAATCAAAATGGATCCGCGAAAAAATTCGCAAAGATAATTTTATTTAAAATATCTTCATCTAAGCAGTTTTCAATGAAAGCTTTTGGAAGCTATACTCTCAACGGATATTTAAACAAGCGAAGCGAAAAAGTAGACGGATAAAATTTTAAAGTTAAATTTTACTTTGGTTACGGAACCATAAAATAATTTTAGCTAAATTTGATCATATTCTTTATTTGAATTGAATGTATTAAAATATACTTACTTCAAATTATTGGGAAACGGGTTGAAAAGTCAACCGATTGTATGAATAAAAGGGATGTTTAATTAGTATTGTATCGCGCCATTGTTAATTTATATTGGGAAAGACGAAAAAAATTCTGCCTCCTTATAACTTTTCAAGTATCAGATCACAAAATCAACGAGATGGGCGGTTTAAGTCTAAAAATTATCTAAAGTTCCTTGGTTTTATATATTGATTTTTTAAGTGCAATAAAGAATAGTAATAATAATAATAATAATAAAATTTAAACTTATTTAACAAATATAAATATGATACTTTTTTTAAATTTACGCAAATATTTGAAATTTTAAATAAAACTATCTTTTCGGATTTTTCCGCAGATTTATTTTGATAAAATCGGGAGTATTATAATTGCGTCATTCAAGTGGCATTGTATTGTTATGACAAAGTTGTAATTTGAAATTGTAGGTGTCTCTGGAAGGAAGAAGACTGGAACTAAGACCATAATTATGTTACATAATACATCCGCGACAAAAGTATAACCCACCCCCCTAATTTTGTAATATCCAATGTAAGACTAATTTACCTTGATATATTACTATGGCATTGATATTTTTTATTTGTTTGTAGTATTATAATATGTGTTCAATTACATTCTAAGTTGTTTTCTTATATTACGGCGTGATTGTTAGTTTGATAGTGCGACAAAAGTATAACTTACTTTGGCTTGAACAACTTCATGTTTTAGACGTATCAGTTCCTTTTTATACTTATTCTGCGTTCCTCGTAAATTATTACGTACTCGAAAATTATTTCGATTGATATTTATTTATTTCTAAAATAAAAGACCACGTGGGAAACGTTTCAACGAAAGTGGAATTAATTTAGTTAGGAAATTGTATTCTAAAAATTGGTCGAAAGTTAGAATTGCAAAATTTATCAATAGAAGTCATCGTGTTGTACGTAATTTTCTAAAAGATCCTAAAAATTATGGCAAAAGAAAGAGGACTGGTCGACCAAGGGCAACAACACCACCTGAAAGAAGGTCAATTCTGAGAGTCGCTCCTAATTTTGCTCTTACACCAAGACAAGTCGCAGTGGAGGCTGCTGTTAGCACTAATTTAAGGAAATGTCAAAGTATTATACATGGGCGTCGATACTTAAAACGTAAGAAATTACAAAGAAAACGACTGGTATCTGATAAACATAAATTAGATAGATCTAAATTTGCAAAAGACCATGTTCAATGGAAGAAGAATTGGAAAAATATTATTTTCACTGATGAAAAGAAGTTTAATTTAGATGAGCCTGATGGTTTTAATTACTATTTTCACGATTTAAGAAAAGAAAAATGTGTATTGATTTGACGACAAGCCGGGGGTGGTAGTACAATGATATGGTGTGGAATTGGTTACTTAGGAAAAATGAATATAAAGTCCTGTACTGGAAAATTGAATAGTAAACGGTTCATAAACATAATTAATGAAGAGATTACTTCTCATGTAATGCGAATTGCTGGTCCTAATTTTATATTTCAGCACGATAATGTCAGTATTCACCGTGCACAAATAGTTAAAAACTATTTTACTGAAACAAATAATCAAGTTCTTGAAGGGCCAGCTTATTCTCCTGGCTTAAATATAATTGAAAATTATTGGGGAAACTTATCACGAGCTGTCTATTGAGGATCAAAACAATTTACCACTGTTGAAGAGTTAAAAACGGTAATAATTGACGAATGGCAAAACATGAATCAAAACAATTTAAAAAGTTATAAGAGTTACCAGATCAGTTTACCAGATCAAATGATTGAAGTAATAAGTAAAAGTGGTGGATCTACTAAATGTTGATCGAAGTACTAAATATTAAATTAAATAAATAATCGCTCTTTGTTGCATTTCTCTCGAGTTTTATTTATATTTATTTTACCTGGGTTATACTTTTGTCGCACCGCAAAATTTATGCATCATCTGTATTTGGTTGATTTTGCATTTAACAAATAATACATTGGTTGTAAAATATACTTACCAATACCTAATTTTGTGTATTAGTAATCTATTAATATAACTATAATTTTATATTGGATATTACAAAATTAGGGGGTGGGTTATACTTTTGTCGCGGAGTGTACAAATCTATACTTTGATATTATAAAGAGGCAGAGTTTGTTAATTTGTTTGTTCGTTCGTTTGTTTGTTTGTTTGTTTGTTTGTTTGTTTGTTTGTTTGGTTGTTTGGTTGTTTGTTTGTTTGTTTGTTTGTTTGTTTGTTGGTTTGTTTGATACGCGCTATCCTTAGGAACTACTAATCCAGTTAGAAAAATTCTTTTTGCATTAGATAGCCCGATTATTAAGGAAGGCTATAGGCTATATATCACCATACTACTACCCAAGGGAGTGGAGCAGTAATCATAAATGTCAACAAATCGGGCAGAATTCCATTCTTTATTGTAAAACTGATGTTTATAATATGTTGTAAGTGCTTTATGCTCAGAAACTTCTGAGCCTATTTCAAAAACGAATTTTGCATAAAGCCAAAGAGTTTTTTTGTGGTTTTAGCGCGATCGAAGTCGCGGGTTCTGCTAGTATATACTGTGTGTTGGCAGTAATGTAATAATATGTACTATGTTTTTAGGTACCTAATGAAATGTTATAATAACGCCGTGCATGGTAAAACTTTGCCAGCTTCTATAGCCTTCTTGGAGGATTTTTGTAACAAAAGATATAAGATGTGGACAAGTTCTCCTGAAGGAATTATTCAAGGTTTCAATAGCGTAGCTGCGGGGTAAGAAATATTATTTAATTAAAATATTGTTTTAATTGTCCTTTCTAAATGGATAAAAATTATTATTTTTGTATCTCTCCTATCCTAATTATTTAAATCGTAAATTGAATTCAAAAAAAGTACAGATAACCTACAGAAGTTTCACTTCTTGCGCGTGTTCACATTGATACACTTTTTCATTCTAACATATCTAATGTACATACATAGCTAATGTACTTCGTTTTCACACTGCAATTATGCTGTCTACGTTTTTGTTGTCAACGCTCAAGATTTTGACCTGGACGATGATAAAAGATGCATATTGCAAGACAGGATAGATTGATTAGATTAGACACAGAGTTATAAAAAATCCGGACAAGTGCGAGTCGGACTCGCCCACTGAGGGTTCCGTACAAATTTGTAGGAAATCTATTTAAGTTTAATTTTCAACTCTTTTTATTTTTTGGATTTTTTCCTTTATTTGTGCAGTAAGACCTTATCTTTTGCCAAAATTTCGTGATTCTAGGTCAACGGGAACTACCATATACATAGGTTTTCGACTCAAAACCTATAGGGTACTTCCGGTTGACCTAGAATTGTTAATTTTGGTTAAAAGCAAGGTCTTACAGTACAAGTAAAGGGAAAATTCCGAAAAATAAAAAAGTTGAAAATTAAGGTAAATCTTGGTACTTACAAGTTTTCGCGAAAAACTAAATTTGCCCATATCTTTTTATTGTGTAGACTCCGGACCTTGATTTTTATACACCTAATAGGGACTATAGACCTCAGTATCTGGTATAAATTTAAACTTGCTTGGTTCACCCGTTCCTGAGAAAATCGGTGGTGACACACGGACAGACAGAGAGACGGTCAGACGGACAAGAGAGTAATCTTATAAGGGTTCCTTTTTACCTTTTGAGGTACGGAACCCTAAAAACGGGTTCAATCCTATTATTTCCAAAGATTAAAAAGATTTCAAAATATTTAAAGTTATCCTTTTGTTTAAAAATCGTGTAGAAGGACAAAAGAAGCGTACGACGCGATTCAAAGACACGTAGCAAATGGAAAAGACTTCGAAGACGCTGGAAATTTATCTTCAGTATTGCTTTCAAACGCCAGTGAGGTATATATATATGTACTACTAATTAATTATTATAAATGTCAATAGATAGAGTTATGTGATTTTTTATGGTTTTTAACGTAATTTTTTATGGGTGTTATGTAAAATTATAACAAAAAAGATACTTTAAATTCTTTAATTTATGAAATACTAGATATTCTAAGTAAAGGAAACTCAAATCATTCGTTTTTGTATTCGGTAATTTTACTCGTAAGCACTTATCTTGTGGAAGAAATTGAATTATAAAGTTTAAGAAAATAATTTAGGTATTTGAAAGACCTGTGTATTGTATATTCATTATTATTTTTTTTGGTTCAAGGCATACGCGCGTTCCCTATTATGTAATGTGTATTGGAATGAAACTCAAAAGCTATTAAGTAAAGTGTCCACCGAATTAGGCGTGGTTTTACAGCAACTTGCTGAACTATACCTCGTGTACTGGGCTTTGGAAAAACGAGGAGATCTCTTGATGGTATGTTTTGAATTTATTTTGTTAAAAGGTGAACACTTTTGGAAATTTACTTAATCGTTTTATTTAATAATTTACAAAATATGTAGTAACTAGTAACTGTTTATATTAAATATTTATTTCGATTAAATGATCAATTTTTCCCCGTTTCTTTCCCGGACATTTGCAGAAGACCGTAAGAGCTAACCCAACCTACCAATTCCCTAGAAAGTATTTTCTTTTCTGTATTTCTTTAATAAATATTGAATATTTGAGGAATTTAACCACATTTCTCAAACATTGAATATTTATTATAAAAAACAATGCTGCTGTAAAATAATCATTTTATCAGCAGTTCTGAATATCTCAAATTTTATTCTGAATTTTAGTATTCTACACTATCAAAGGAGGATATCGACAAGTTATATCTACGATACGAAGAGTTGCTTGGTTTGATCAGACCCAATGCGGTGGGTCTCGTCGATGCCTTCGATATACGAGACGAGGTATTTATAAAATTTACTTTTGTAACGTAGTTTAAAAACTTCTAAGTTAGTAAAAAATGAAGCAATGTACTACTAATATGTTATCTTTACACGACTAAACCCTTAATCAACTACTAATAGAGCTTCTTTTAAATAGATTGATAGAAAGAGTTACAGAATGTTAGATTGGTGCCCTAAACATAATATAATATACATATTTTAAAGTTTAATATTAATATTTACTTAATTAAGACACTAATGCATAATAAAATCTCTAATGTACTTGTACTAGATTAGATATTTTAGATTTAATTTCTAGAGGTAGCTCGCTTTTCGCCCCAAGATGTGGCTAGCATTCTTGCCACTATTCTGCGTGGACATGACTTGTACAGTAATAATTAAGTGTTGGATAAAATAGGGCATGAAAGTTTGTATGGAACCTACCTCATGAGAGATATTTTTTGTAGTTTTAGCGCGAGCAAAGCCGCGGGGTGGGTTTTGTCGTATAACTAACTATAAGTAAAATAAATAATAATAATCACAGATTCTATGCTCTACACTGGGGTCTTACGACGGTCGCGTGTACGAGCGGCTCATGGAAGCAGCGGCCAAGAACCCTCTCAATGCAGACACCGTCAACCAGAGCTTTCACAAATACGTGAAGCCGTTTAAGTTAAGAAATAAAATGTAATATATTGAAATTAATAAAATCTTTCAAATATATTTAGTTTATTATTTAAATTATATTTAATTAAATTTCTTCCATGGTTTTCGTTTTACTTCATTTTCATTTCATATCATAATTTTATTTTTCACTACTTGCCTTCGTTTTGCTCGGGCACGTCCCTAGGTATGTTTTAAGTTTTTTGAACGGAACCTTAATTCTTTTTCTAAAATATAAGGAGCCTTTTTTTAACGTTGGGAAATGCATTTACGCACGACGTGTGGGACTCACCGGCGTAATACAGCCAATACTACCCACTAAAACCCAACAAAACCTTTCCCCATCTTAATGGGGCGTCGCAGGATCGCTTACGCATTCAACTACGACGCCCCGACGGCAGGTCTGCCGAAGCAGACCACCACAACCATGGGGTTGCTCCAAGGTCCACTCTGCTATCAGAGAAGTACTAGGAGCAACCCGCATGGTACACCGCCCCCCGAAGAGGGCCACCTCCCACCGCCCACCGAAGTGGGCCACCTCCCTGTGCGTTTCTTGGCTTCGCGCCCGGTTGGGTTGCCGGGCACTACTGAGCCCCCCCACCACGACAAGGTGAACGCACGTTGGGGGGGTGATACTCTTACCCTGCTGGACCTATATTAACCAAACATAGCTAAGAACCACCGCAAGGAAACTGGCTTTCAAATGAAAAAAAAACGCATCGAAATCGGTCCATCCGTTTGAGAGCTACGATGCCACAGGCAGACTTACACACACAGAGACAATAAATAATGGCGGTGATTGACAATGCCACACAGGTTCCTCCGTAAATCTCATATATGATTTAGTAATATTGCACTTTTTGTTTTATGAATAACAGTCAGTTTCATGAATAATAGTCTGTCTATACTTCTGTTTTTTTTTGTTTGTTTAGTTTTGGGCGATAAACTCTCAAACTACTGAATTCATAATACTTTCTTAGATTTACGCGAATACTTGACATTTTAAATAAAACTATTTTTTCGGTTTTTTTCGGGAATTTTTTTGATATTTGGTTCCCGACGTTTCGAATGCTTTACAGCATCCATGGTCACAGGAGAGACTGAGTCTCTTTTATTTAAAATACTGAATTAATTTTAATCATTTATATTTATTAATAGACAGCTATTGATTAATTTATATTTAGCTGATTATTTAAATTATTACATAATAATAAATTAATGTTAATTTGTCGCGAAACAAGGATGAGTTAGCGCTAGTGAATAATATTTTCAGAAATAATTTTCAAAAGAGAGTGTTTGGGAAAAAGAAATCCTGAATTGAGGTAAATAAGTAAATAATTCTAAGCAAATGCTTTTTATTCTTTCATATGACTCGGCTAATATGATTAAAGGATTTTATTGCGTCTTTAAAGCCTTCCTTCCACCTTTCAACAAATGCTCAAATGTCAAATAAAACTGAAAAAGTATAAAATACTTTTATCAAAAATTATCTTGCAGAATATACGTTTCATAGTTTTTTAAGATATGGACTAATTTTAGCCACCTGCTTTGTCAGTTTAAAAACCATTAACTTGTATTCAATAAAATGTTAAGAAATAATTTGACACGAACTTAATTTTACGGTTGATAAAATGAGTCGATATTGTGGATACGTAAATATTATTACTAATTTTGAAATTTGAAATTTAAAATAGTGTGTAGGTAAGTGGTAAGGTGGTATAACCGGAGATAGCCGGAGATAGACGAAGATAGACGGAGATAGACGGAGAAAGACGGAGATAGACGGAAATAGAGGGAGATAGACGGAGATAGAACAAATCCAGATTTTTTTCAAATTTTTTGTTTCTCTGTTTGTCTGTTTGTACGGGCTAATCTCCGAATCAAATACCGATTTAAATGAAATTTTGGATGGTGGTACCTTATATCCCCGGGCAACATTTTAGATACTTTTTATCCCGGAAAATTAAATAGTTCCCGTGGGATAATTAAAAAACTATAATAACTTATACAGCTTAGTACACAACAACTTATGCACCTAATTTAGTAAAATATAACATTCTGATACCTTATATTGCCGGTCAACAACAGGTTACTTTTCATCCCGGAGAAATAAACAGTTCCCGTGGGAACTAATAGATCTCTATTATTGTTTTTCTAGAGGCGAACCCGAGCGAAGCGAGGGTGAGCCGCTAGTAATATATAAATATTTATATGGCTGAGCCATTTTGAACAACATATTTATAAATTATTTACTTCCTCGTTTATCGTCTATTTAATAGTGAATATAACTATACGAATACTGTATTAAAATCCGTGGTTAGAAGAAACAAACTGGGAAATAGACAGGCAGACAGCGACTTTGTTTTATACTATACATGGGTATTGATATATGTATAATATGAGCGATTTGCGTTCGAACTGAAATTTGCATTTTCCCATGAGACAAGCTACAACAGCTACTTTGACAGCTTTATCAGAGTAAATGGTAAAAATTGGCATGTGAATGGGTTACCACATAGTGGTATAGGACCCCCCCCAACGTGCGTTCATCTTGTCGTGGTGGGGGGACTCAGTAGTGCCCGGTAATACAGCCGGGCGCGAAGCCAAGAAACGCACAGGGAGGTGGCCCACTTCGGTGGGCGGTGGTAGGTGGCCCTCTTCGGAGGGCGGTGTACCATGCGGGTTGCTCCTGGTACTTCTCTGATAGCAGAGTGGACTTTGGAGCAACCCCATGGTCGTTGTGGTCTGCCTCGGCAGACCTGCCGTCGGGGCGTCGTAGTTGAATGCGTAAGCGATCCTGCGACGCCCCATTAAGACGGGGGAAGGTTTTGTTGGGTTTTAGTGGGTAGTACTGGCGTCGCCGGTGAGTCCCACACCTCGTGCGTAAATGCATTTACCAACGTTAAAAAAAATAAAAAAAAAATAAATAAATAAAAAAAAAAAAAAGTGGTAAGTATAGGATAATTATTTAGTGCTCATTTAGAAATGAGCACCACTAAAATTTTTACACGAAGTATTTCATATATGTATAAAGGCTTTGTTACTATTTTATTATGTGTATAGATAACAGCGCACATCAGCGCAGGATTTGTATATTGTATGTAAATGTGTATACAAAATTATTCACTATCAGTCACAAGTATATTGTCAGCCGGTGCAGTGTATCTTTAATCGCTGTTTTTTATAAACTTTAAATTTTTGTGAAAATGAGTTCAATTAAATCGGTAAATGAGGATCTGGCGAAAGAAAGGCGAGCTTGCACTTTTAATGTAAAGGAAGTGACTTATTTGTTTGATGGTGGTAAAAGCAAAACTCTACAAAGGAAAAAATTTGGTACTTGACAACTTTCATTATTATATTTATTCTTAACCGACTTCAAAAAAGGAGGAAGTTCTCAATTCGTCGGAATCTTTTTTTACGTTTGTTTACCGATTACTTTTGTTTCAAAGGGTATACTTCCCATTTAAATTTTATAGAAATCGGTCACGAGGGGTTTTTTAAAAAAACAATATAATAATCTGATCGAATATGTTATTAAAAAACTTTTTTCTTACAAATTACCTGCTTATTACGTCTACACTAAAAATGGAAAAATAAAAACTTGAAAAAAAAATATATAAACCGACTTTCAGGCACTAAAATATAAAAAAATAACTAAACTGGGGTTTTTAATTTAGAGTAGATACCTAATCAGATATTTTCGAAGTCGGTGCCAGCGGACAATATTTTAAGAATTTTTTTTTATCTCTATTTTTATTTAGGGACTTTCATCCTTTTTAGTAGGGGAGCCCAAATCGACTATAAAGTTTATGATGATTTTTGCCTCTTAGGATTGTGCAAATCGGCAGATTATTAAATTGGACACTTTTCAGGATGTGACTAGCCTACCACACCTTAATCTGATGGTTTCAAGTATTTTTACCTTATCAAAACATTTTTTAAATATTTTAATCGGCTTCCCTAGACGCGCCCCTTTATATAGAAGACTTATATTGTGGTGAAGGTACTCAATAGAGTGCAAGGTAACCTCTTATGTTAATCTGCCGCGCTCGAGTAACTACAGAAAATCCCCTCTTGGGCTCCCCTACTATTTCGGACATGTCAGTCCCATCGTATCTTAACCTAAGTACATCATCACATATATATTATGGAAAAAGGGAAATAGATTCAATGTTGCAAAACCATATCCACCAAAATTTTAACAACATCAATACTTATTGGGTTCGCTAATATACTTAAGTATGGTCCAATATCATATCTATTAATATTAAGTTTTTGCATTATTGATTCCCTCTCCCTTTGATGTTTAACACATTCTACAAGGATCATCGTCTATCATGTTACAACTACTCCATAAGGGTGAATTTACCTTTTTCATAAGGTACGCAAATTTATTTGACGGATAATGTCCAGAACGCAGTCTATGTAAAACAACAATATATTTTCGATTTAGTTTAACGTTAAAAAACCATGGTACTCCAGGAGGCTCACACTGTATAGTTTTGTACCATACCCTTTTCTGTGCTTCTTTCGTCGAAATATTCTTTAAATTTTTTACAACAGATAATTTTAAATTTATTAAGTATTTCAGTGTAATAAGGCAAAATATTAAATTCAACTCCTTCCGAAATGGCTAGCTTAGCTAACCTGTCAGCCTCCTCGTTACCACTTAAGCCTATATGGAACCCATTGCAATTTTAGATTTATTCGAGAGTTATTCAGCATGTGTATCCTCTTTAACACATTGTAGGCTATCGGTATACCTCTGCTATAACCAGAGGTGCACCGACCCAAATGCTCTAAAGCGCTTTTGCTATCGGTAAGTATAACAAAATTTCCATAATCAAAATTCCTAATCATATAGTTAATTGCTACTAATATTGCAAGGAGTTCCATGGTCATAATTGACACTGGAGCGTCTACTTTTAACATACTAGATATTTGGTTTAATGGATCATAAAAGGCAGCACCGAGTTTATCATTCTTTTTTGCTCCATCGGTAAAGATTTTAAACCAATTTGGATACTAATTTGTTTATTTCATTTAAAATGTCAAATTTAATATAATTCTCTAAATTCTTTTTCGATTTTTTAACGCAATCTAAATTTATGCTTATAACATTCTTTAAACCTATATAACTCAACCATATATCTAATTTAAACATTTCCAAAGGGTATGAGTTTTGGACAACACAATCTTTACAGTCACTATAAGCTGTACATAGCAGAGGTTTTTTAGCACGCTGCCAATATCTTACGCAAATTGGTGCACAAAGGTTATTTAAAAGATCTATGGTAACATTATTTGATCGAGACATACTTTTACTACAAAACTTAAGGGCAAGATAATGTCTTCTCAGAGATAATGGTGGTATACATAGCTCACTTTCCATAACGTGGATTGGTGTACTTTTTATAAATCCTCCTATTATTCTGAGGGCAGTATTTTGAACCTTGTCAAGCTTAAATAAATGAGTTTTTGCACAATTAGCATATAAAAAACAACCAAAATCAAATTTACTTCTGACCAATGATATGTATAAGGTACGTAGATGCTTAGGGTGAATTCCCCAGCCTGGGCCTGTAAGTATCCTAAGTAAATTTAAACATTTAGAAGATTTTTCTACAAGCATATTCACATGATTGCTCCACCGTAGCGATCTATCCAGCGAAAGTCCTAAATATCTAACATTATCTTCAACAGATAACATATTATTATTAACGTTTAAATTTATTTTTAATCTCTTATGCCCTCTATTAAAAATACATACTTTAGATTTCTTCGCAGATAACTGAAGCCCTATATTATCTAGTAAAATCATTATAGCGCTTAATGCCGCTTGTAAATTAGTCTCGCATTCATTCAAATTTTTGTGACTCGTATACAGTACAAAATCATCTGCGTACTGAGCTACAATAACATTAGTGATTTGCTGGGTAATGTTGTACGTAATGATATTGAATAGCAGTGGAGATAAAGGATCCCCTTGTGCAAGTCCTCTGTTAGTATGTATTTCATCTAAAATACTACTTCCTTGACCAAACCCTTTTGTAATTGTAAGGTGTCTTTCGTTTAAGAATGACCAAAGATATCCGCAAATACGAGTATTTCATTAACCTCGAATGATTTCATTGTAAGTTTATAGTTATTTTAATTTTTATTGTTAGCGTTTAAAAAACAATGTGTCTTCCCTAATTAAAATGTCTATTATTGTTAACAATACAGTGAAATATTTATTATATGCAAATTACACCAGTCTGACTTGTTCAAGTGATATTTCTGTTATGTATATTTTTTATTTGCATATTTTATACTCATATGTTTGTTATCTTCTATACATATTATAAAACAAAGTCCTCCACCGTGTCTGTCTGTCTGTCTACCTGTCTGTCTGTCTGCCTGTTTGTCTGTCTGAACGCGATAAACTCAAAAACTACGTTACAGATTTTCGTACGGTTTTCACCAGTGGACGAAGTGATTCATGAGGAAGTTTTAGGTGTATTACATTAGGGCTTTCTATAAATTGGCTGAAGTATGACGATGATTGTTGAAGATTTCGGAAAAAATCATACTGACTGGGAGCTTTACTGGCTCACGCCGCTTAAACTATTGCAGACAGCACCATGGAATGTTCTAATAAATTGAAAAACATAAAAATTACTACAATAAAGACGCGATAGCATATAATCTATATATAATATCTTTTAAGGTTGACTTACAGACCATTTTTATGGTGTAAATTATTATATGGGTCTAAAATAACACTTTATTTGCGAAGTTGTTTTCACTGGCATGGTGTTAGTCCTTATATAAATAAATATATTAGACAGCTTGAGCACTTAATTTAGATCAAAACTGGCCTGCAGGCTGCACACCATTTAAATTAGATGAATATCTTAGATAATATCACAGAATGAACATTAACAGATTAACCTTACTTTACTTACCGATTATCTTTCTTAAATTAATTACAGAACACCTATCTTTTAAATTTCAACTTCTTAGGTATTACTAGCAGTTGAGTGAAAAAGAGTGTAAATGTTTTTTTCCCGACTACGGCGAAGCCCAAAGTTTATGTGTTTAACCTGTACGTATGTATGTCAGTCCGAACTCCGATTGTATGTTCCCTCGTAGGTAATAATTACCTACGAGGGAACATAGAATCGGTTTTTTATTAAACAGCTTAACCGATTTTTGATGATTCATATATCGTCAGATTCATCTTGATAACACGAGTATTAACACGGTATTTTAAAAATCAAAATGACGGATCTCAGGCGCCAATTTGTGTCTTTAAAAAAGTTTTCTTTCAAACCTATCGAGTGGAGTATCAAAATAAAGGTTTTTAAGAGGCGATCATAAAGTATATACGTGTAAAAGTAATTTAGAATAAGAAATTGTTAAATAAAATTCCATATGTCTAATTGGCTAGAACTAAAAAGTTGTAAGTAAAAATAAAATTATAAAAATACAAACACTGACTGCGTAAAAAAACTTATTACAAAGATGAGAACAAGAAAGAAAAAAGAATATAGTATTATGCAGTCGGAGACATACATACACGTAGCAAGACGCAGTAAGAATAAAACATGTATGTCTCAGACAGCATTATGGTCTTTGTTAACTTGTTCTCATCTAATACTTTCTTAGATTTACGCGAATACTTGACATTTTAAATAAAACTATCTTTACGGATATTTTCGCGAAATTATTTTGATTTTTCGTTCCCGACCTTTCGAATGCTTTACAGCAATCATGGTTACGGGAGAGACTGAGGTGTTAGATGTCTCTAAAGGTATTATATAGTTGTTACAGACAGCCTACCCACAATTAACAAAATGAATTCAAAACTTGATAAATGGCACTAAAGTACCTTACAATATTTTAACTTTTAACTTTAAACATTTTTATATAATTTAATTAGTTTTATAATTGAATATGGAATATTATTTATTTAATTTGAGCTGTTATTATTTGTTCTCATCTTTGTAGTTTGTTTTTTACGTACTCTTGTTTTTATTTTAATTTTTATTATAATTTTTTAGTAAAAGTTAAATATGTCGAACCGTGTTTGAGCATTGAGCATACCTACTTAACGAACATGTTACTTGATTATAATTCAGTAAATTGTCATTATATTCAATTCGCCTTGATTACAGAGGACATTGCTCTAAATGGAGGTGCATGGGCCGATAAAATACCCGAAGAATGTCTAGATACTAAGGCCAGATACGAAAATGCTGTAAGAAAATCTTGTGTCTACGCTAATATTGTCAAAAACGAGTTGATCGAGATGAATGGAATCGAAAGTTTTGGGTAAGTTTTCTATATTTCAAAATGTCATTAAAATATCATTTTTAACTCGTCTTTGTGGATTAAATTACTATGATGTATATAAATAAATATGTAAATTTTATTCTGTATTTTTGCACAGGGAAAGATATTTAAATTATTTTCGTAAAAAGTGATTAGAAGTTTATTGACTAAAGTAATACAAATATAAAACTTCACACCATCAATCAAACACTGAACTTTCTCTAGACTCACTTTCTGTAACAACAATTAAATAATTCAATATATAAACTTTGAGACGTCTAAAACCTTAGTCTCTCCCGTGACCATGATTGCTCTAAAGCATTCGAAACGTCGGGAACCAAAAATTAAAATAAATCAGCGAAAAAATCCGAAAGATGGTTTTATTTAAAACTTTCTTTATCTTTGTGCATAATATTCAGAGAAAAACAGTAAAAGAATTTCATTATAAATTATATTTAAATCATTAGATTTTTGCATAATATTTTCATGCCTTCTTCTCTACATAACTTAGAGGAACAAATATAATATACATATATACAAATATAACAAATATAATAATACTTAATGTAAGAGAGTATGCTGAAGCGTACTTTCTTAGCACAAATAGTTGATAAAAATATTGACATAAATTTTTTTTTCGAAGACATTTTTGATTTTTGCTTTGAAATGTGTTAATCATCCAGATATCTAAATATGGTTGAGATATTAGCTTCACTAGGAAGTTATGGCCTTTTTCAACATATATAAATAGTAGAAAACTATAAGTTTTTCCGTACGCCTACTCCATAAGCGTCATCAAAGTTATCAACTTTCCTTTACTTCTCTCCCTTTACTTTGCTTATAGCTAACCTATTGACGTAAATTCAATATCTTTGATGGCTGTTATCAGAACTAATGGACTAGCTTACTGTTTTATTTATATAACAGTAAGGCAGTGGTAGCCCAGTGGTAACGAGCTAGCCTGAAAAACCAGGTAAAGCGGGTTCAAATCCCGGGTCTTGCACCTCTGATATTCTGGTCAACGAAAATATCGTAAAGAAACCTGCATATCTGAGAGAACTTACCAAGTTTTTGAAAGACATATGAAGTCCGCCAATCCGCACTTGGCCAGCGTGGTGGATTACGGTCTGATCCTCCTCGTATGGAAAGAAGGGCCGTGCCCAGTAGAAGGACGTTAAAAAGGGCTGAATACAAGAGTGACAGGTTAAATTACTTGATTGTCTGTGATTTGGTAGTAATTCGGTACTGCGTTAAATAAACTATATACCTATAATGATGTGATGTTCTCCCGACCGATTCCGGCCACGGCGGCCAATCTCATTGAGACTAGCCAACTGCGCAGGAGATATTATAGTGCACAAGTGTACGCGCAGACACAAGTGCACTCTCTATTCCTGTCACTCTCATACTCCGGTGGGACGACTGCTCGACACGACCAGTGAGAGTTAAGGCGCAGGACCGACGGCTTTACGTGCTCTCCGAGGCACGGAGGTGAAACACCGCCAACTTCCCAACTCCGGGCTGTTACTGAGGCTTATTTATACAGAAAGACTCAATAACTAAACTTGGCCCGACCCGGGACTCGAATCCAGGACCTCCGGGTGTGCAGCCGTACATGCTAGCCACTACACCACGGAGGCAGTACCTATAATACAAATATATACACTAAAATAATCCTTGTCTTCCTATAACATCGTCAAACTAATCATTGAAACTATTTTTGAACAAGGTCACCGGTTCTTCGTCGAACGGCTGATGCATTTTTTAAAGACATATCACCGTTTTTACTGCATGTTGGCATGTTCGTTCCAACTCTCTTTGGTCAATGCACGGCAGAACAGCAAGCGATGTGGCTACCAAAGGCTTTGAGTATGCAAATTATTGGAGCTTACGTACAGGTGTATTAATATAATTATCATTATGACATTAATTTTACTTGAAAAAATAAAGAATTAAACAAATTTGCTTGAATATTTAGCAAAGTGACTTACAATGCTTTTCCTTTAAGCGAAAAATAAGCTAGCTTATGTGTCAATAGAGCACTTTGATATTTGTACATTACTCAGTTACTACGAATTTCTTATTTTTTTTATAATTAATTGCGATTTTAGACAGAACTTGGTCATGGAACGTTCATCAGGGGATTAGAAACTACTGCCACTTATGACCCGACGACTGAAGAATTTGTTCTCCACAGTCCAACGTTGACGTCTTACAAGTGGTGGGCTTCAGGACGTAAGTACTACGTTTTGATTATAACATATATATGAATATATAATTATATCAAAATTATTTACTTTTGGTATTTACTTGTTGTATTCAGATTAACAAATTATTAATTGTCTTATTGTCAATGTCTTCAATTTTAATCATAATTAATCATTGATTTTTATAATCATAGTATTTTTTGCCTGTTGTATGGTTCTGATCACATTTAATTGGGGTGGGGTAAAAAATAACGAGTATGTTCATCACAAAAATGCAATCTATGTAATTGTCAAATTTCCTCAAAATCTGTTCAGTATTGGACGTCAAAACGTGTTCTATAGAAAAGATATATATACATATAAGGATCAGAGCTGTTTTTACACATTTATTATTGTATTGTGACTGAAATGTATTCTTAGTCTTTTAAAGCTTAAAGCTTAATCAGAAGTCAGCAAGCTTTAAGAATACTTTCTTAAAGGAAACAGAAATGATACACGAGGAAGCAAGTCAAATAAAAGCTTGTAAAAAATAACACATTGTATGGGCAGCATTTACACCAGTGCATGCTAGAATTTATAATAAAATAAGTTTATTATAAAATATAATATAATAAATTGCTTTATAGAAGGAGTTCGATTGTTATAGCACTTTTTTTCTTAATTTTCCAGTCGGTCGAACAGCAAATCACTGTGTGGTCGTAGCCCAATTATATACTCAAGGCAAATGTTACGGCACTCATCTCTTCATAGTCCAAATTCGTGATATGGAAACCCACAAACCTCTACCTGGTATTAAAGTTGGGGAGTTAGGTCCTCGCATGGGTTTCAATACGGCAGATAATGGATTCTTAGCATTTAATCAGTATCGGATACCCAGAAATAATATGTTAATGAAGAATGCTCAAGTAAAAAAGGTATATAAGGAATTTCAAGTTTTAGTTTAGTGTTAGACATTTTATATTAATTTAAATTGACGACACGTTTGGCTCAGATTGTAGTGACCCTAATTGCTGTGCCAGCGGTCGCGGGTTTGCGTCCCGCTGGGGGTTTCTATTTGTGCGGTGAGCACGCATATTTGTACTCCAGTCATGGGTGCTTATATTTATAATTCGTATGTATTTAGAGTTGTATATATGTAGTGTATCAACTACCTGGTATCCATAACACAAGCCCCGTAGCTTACCATGGAACCAGATGGTGCTGGATCGGTGGATGTTGTGTGTTAATGTCCTAACATATTTATTTATTTAATTATATTTGAAGTTGTTACTCGCAATAATTTGTTTCCCCATTAGGATATGTTAAAAAGCAAGAAAAATTAAGAATGATTAATTATTTTGAGAATTTCAATATTAGGTACCTAATACCTATATTTTGATGAAAATGGTGCTTATCATTAGTTATTTTAAATAAACATAGTTTTGTATATATTATAGGATGGTACATACGTAAAAACGGCGAGACATGGCAAATTGACATATGGGACCATGGTGTTAATACGAGTCAACTTGGTTGGTGAAGCATCGTTTAATCTCGCTAAAGCAGTAACTATTGCGGTGCGGTATTCGGCTGTCAGACGACAATCTGAGCTGCGGCCAGAGTGAGTAAACAATTACATACATAATATATTTTAAATAACTTGTTTTAATATCAAACTCATAATAAATACAATATATAATCACACTACTCTCGTAAAATATTATACGATAATATAACTATTTACTATTACGGCGAAGGAAAGCATCGTAAGGACACCCGTATGTCTGAGAGAACCTAGCAAGTTTCCGAAAGATATATGAAGTCTGCCAACTGGTAGTTGGCAAGCGTGGTCGACTATGGCCTGATCCTTCTCGCATCAAGAGAAGGCAGTGGGACGTTAATAAGGGCTGAATAAAATGCGATAATATTATATGTGCTCCTGTGTGGTGTATGTAAAACTATAGTCACCCTCGTCGCTTCGCTCGGCTTCCCTAGGTTTATTCCCTATACAAACTTTTATACCCATTTTCACTCCCTTAATTAGGGATGATTTACGGGATAAAAAATGATTATCTACCATAATACCGAATTTAGAACGGACCGTAATATAACAACAAATAAACATTTGTGAAGCAATTTACTTACTAGCTGTACATACAGTTGTAGAAAACTACGAATATGCCTTAAAACTTTAAATATGTACTCACAGTAATATTGCAAAAAGTCCTAATAAAATATTTATCTACAGGACTCGTAGTATGACAACAGAGCTTACCACCTCTTTTGAAGTAATTTATACCTATTGTGTTATTTTCACCTAATTATATTTCTATACATATACATAACACAATTGTAACTAAGCCGAATCTGTACATTTTTTTGGAAAATCTTATTGAAATAGATACTATTTATTTATTCATTATCAATACAGAGGCCGAATCTATAGTTTTTAGAATTTTTGTCTGTCTGTCTGTGACCGCAAGGAAAAACCACTGGAGGGATTTTTAAGAAATTTGGTATGAGCTGGTTTTCCAGGTCAACATATAGGATACTTTTTACTGCAGGAAAATATGTCATCTGAGAAATCTATATTAAACGTTAAAACATAAGTAGGGACGTACCCAAGCGGAGCGAGGGCGAGTTGCTATTTTACCAAAAAATGATTGTTATTATTATCACTAGTGCTCCAGAGCCACAAATTCTGGACTATCCAACGCAGCAGCATAAGCTATTCATTTGCATAGCGACTGCCCACGCCTTCCAACTCGCCGCTTCGTGGCTGTGGGGCACATTCACCGCGGTCCAAGCTGATATGGTGAAGGGAAATGTTGACACTTTACCTGAGGTATTAAGGTGCTTCTAATTTATACCAACTGATATCCAGCACCCCTTTTTTCACAGCAACATTAATTTTCACGTTAATCACTTTATTCTTATACCAGAAATTTATTTTTCAACATTTATTTACCAAAATTAAAGCGTGTTTTTTTAAGTTTTTAAACTATAGTTTAATATATACATATATTAGCACTCATTACTTAAAACCTGTAGACAGACTTATGACTTCATTAAAGATGTATCCTCATAACATAATGAAAATCTTTCTTATGAAGAATGAACCTAAAGCTATTTTAAAATATGAATTATAGAAACAGTTTCCTTGTAATTCGCCAGTAAAAGCTGATGGACAAAAAATATTCTTTTTTTTGTCTATTTTTTGTTTATTTAGTTTTTTTTGGTGTATTTCGTTTTTTTGTGTATTTCGTTTTACTTTTAGTTTTAAATTTTATTCTATAGTCTTACTCTATACGAATAAGTATTGAAAATTCATATTAAGTTAGGCTTGCCAGTTTTCTTTCAATTCTGTTTCAGCTGCATGCTCTGTCGAGTTGCCTCAAAGCTGTCAGTACGTCCGACGCAGCGATATACATAGAGCAATGTAGATATGCCTGTGGCGGACATGGATACATGGTATCCTCGAATTTACCCAATTTATACGCATATGTAGCGGCCACTAGGACTTATGAGGGAGACTATACAGTGTTACTTTTGCAGACTGCGAGGTATACAAAATGTTACGATATTTATAAAACTAGTTATCTTCATTTGGAAAATGTTAAAATAAAAGATAGATTTTTTTTTTGAAATTTTGAAAAATACGTTTATTTACATGAAACTGCGTAGATATTCTATTGACTATGTTATGGAATATATAACATTGTAATAGATTATTTTCAACTATTAAATGTCTACATAAAACTTTGTGGAGGTCAGATTTTGTTTCAAACTATTATGTATTAACAATTTCCAAGCTGCCAAAGTTAGAGCTTGTTATTTCTATTAAAATTATCTTTTTTTTTTAGGTTTTTAGTAAAAGCTTGGGAGCAAGCGGAAGCTGGTAATGTGATGACACCTACTGTAGCGTATCTAAATCGATACTTTAATACTAAGGAGAAAGTGCTTTGGGAAAATACTCCTGAGGGTATAATTCGATCCTTCCAAGCGGTTGCAGCAGGGTGAGATATTTGTTATAGAGATAGAGAGATTAGGTCTAGAGGTTTTTAATAATTAATATAATTAAATAAAAAAAAAATATGGCTTACACAGAAATCCTTATCAATATTATAAATGTGAAAGTGTGTTTATTTGATTGTTTGTAGTGACGGATTAGTGTGATTTTTTTTTTGTGTGGAGATAGTTGGAGGGCTGGAGAGTGACATAGACTTTATGCCGTTGGAGATTATCTCATTTCCACGGGAAAACACGTTTAATAATACAACCCAAAAAAATATTTATGATCAGAATTACTTGAAACTTGGTATTGATGCTCTTCAATACATTTAAATAAATACATGTTTTAGCATTATTCGAAAATCATTCCATAAGAGGGTAAAGTAGGGGATGAAACTTTGTACTAAACCTACCCTTTTACAGTTTTTTTTGTAGTTTTAGCGCTAGCGAAGACACGGGTTCTGCTAGTTCTTGTTCATTTATTATATTATTCATATACATTCTTGTTCATTTATTATATTATATTATTTTATTTTTGTTATATTAAAACGTAAGTTTTTTATTAAGATATTTGATGCGCGATAATTACTGCAAACAAAAAGGTGTCCTTACTAAATTTCAGCTCTAGAAGGCAAAAAACTTTAGGTCAGAAGTTTTTTGGGTTAGTCTGAGCAGCTTTTTTTAAATATATTTTTGCAGGAAAACTACTTTATGTGTAAAGAATATTCGAGACAGAATGAAATCCGGCAAAGACTACGAAGACGCCTGGTTGTTGACTACGGTTCAACTTGTGAATGCAGCCGAGGTAAAATACATGTTCACTATAATTTACTAATTATTCTTTACAATGCGTCGCCATAAAATATTTCTTTTCATTTAATTATGCACTAGCGTTTTTCTGCGGCTTCGCTCGCTTATATTATAATATACTAAAACCTTCTCCGAAACACGCTGCATCTTATGGTATGAGTATTATTCCGATCGGTTCAGTAGTCCATTATTTGTATTTCCATTTATTAGTATAGATTTGTTTAAAATACAATGTTGTTTTCTTTTAAACAGCAAATTTTTAACTTAAAATATGTATATTTAACTCTAAAATCACTTCTTGATCTAGGTTTATATAGGGATGTTCATTTAAAAAGTGCAATTGGCGGAGATATTGTGTAGCGTACACATATACAAAAACACACACCACAAAGTGCATACCTTCTGTTTGAAGTGAGTCATAAAAAACGAACTAAAATCATGGGAACTAGTTGATGAAGAAACATAGCGTTATGGATTCGGAGACATACATATGTACATGTTTTATATTATTTTTTATTTGCTAGTCTTGCTACATGTACTCGTATGTCTTCGACTACATAATGCTAGGTATCTTTGTGAACTTGTTTCCATCTTTTTAGTTCGTTTTGCCGCAGTCGGATTTTTTATTTTTATAATAATTAAACTTTTATAATATCAACTCAATTAGATAATTTACACCATCAACTAACAATTCCAAATCACAACTTCTCTAAAACCACATTATTATAGCCCTGAAAACCCGGTGAATTCTTAATGAACTTTAAATAACTTTTAATTAATAAATTATCAGACGTTAAATCATATTGTCATACAAAATGTATTAAAAATCTAAAGTTGTTTTTAAGATAGTTGCAAAAAACTAAGTCCCCATTTTTAGTATTTATAATAATAATACTTTGTTTCACAAAAATACATACATATTGTAGTTGAGAAGCATATTGTACAGTACGTTTTGAAACAAACAATTTATTTGTTTATAACTTTTGCAATTTTTGCAAGCGGAACTTGATTTTTTTTCAAAAATCATCTACATGCCATTCCGAATCAAATGATACCTCGTTCGTATTTTTCCGAGACTGCTGAAAAAAGTTGACCAAAAAGGCACTTGTTGACTAGACTATATGGGAAAATATGTCAACTGATTCAAATATGGTCATAACTACCCTATTTATTTATTTTTTATTAGGTCTATTTACAATCATTTACAATAATACATACAAATACAAAATATATTTTGGAAGTAAACAGTGTTTTTTTTAAATTAATCACTGTTCTTTTAAAAATCCATTCCCTGTTTTTTATTTTATTTATCTCTCCACCAGGCTCATTGTCGCGCAGTGTTGCTACTAACGTATTGGAATGAAATTCAAAGACTGACTGAAACTTGCAGTGAAAATGTAAAAACTGTAATGAATCATCTCGTTATGTTGTATTTAGTTTATTGGGCTTTGGAGAGGACCGGAGATCTTTTACGGGTAATGTCAGATTTTTTTGTTTTTTTTTTTAACATGTCTATGTTAGAATGAAGAGAGAGAATAAAAACTAAGAGAAGAAAGGGGTTTGTATGTTCATAGAATATGGAGAATATAATAAATAATAATAAAACTTAAGCATATACATATGTATGTATGTACTGGAATTTTTCCTTTATTTTATAGAAAAAATATTTGTGTGTGATAAAGAAATTTTCATTATTAAGATGACATAAATGAACATTTGCTTTAATAATATTTTTGATAGTTTATATTTATTACTAGCGACTCAACCTCGCTTCGCCCGGTTTCGTCCCTAGGTACGTTTTAACGGTTAGTATGGAATATATAGTCTATATATTATATGATATGTAGCTTATAGCCTTCCTCAATAAACGGGCTATCTAAGGCAAACAGAATTTTTAAATCGATTTAGTAGTTCCTGAGATAACAAACAAACAAACAAATAAACAAACAAACAACAAACTGCCTCTTTATAATATTTGTATATGAAGGCTAACTTTAATAATATTTTTGATAGTTGATATTTATTATTACAGTATTCGTCAATATCTGAGCAAGACATTGATCACCTCCAACGGCGGTATGAGGAATTATTGGAAAGTATAAGGCCGAATGCCGTCGGACTCGTCGACGCGTTCGATGTAAGAGACGAAGTAAGTAAATACATAGTTCTTATCTGGTCATAATAATTGACTCAATAAAATATATTAGCAGTGAAAATTGAATAAATAAAAGGCACATTTTAATTTATCTATTTTTTACTCGATTGCGGCGTAGCCCAAAGGTTTATGTGTTTAACCTGTATGTATGTATGTATATCAGCCCGACTCTATGTTCTATCGTAATAACTTAACTGATTTTGAAACCTTATTATGTTTATTTTTCTCCAATTAGACGGGCTAAATTAATTTTGAGGAGACATTTGAATTTTGTTAGAATGTTTGTATAATTACGTAAATTGAAAACGAGAATGTTTATTAATAGAGATATTTCAATAATTTTAGCCTCAAAAGATAGGTTTATATTGGAATCTATATTTTAATTAGGAAAATCGGATGACCCGTTTAGAAGATATGAGCAAAATTGTAGAGAAATGTAAAAACCTGTATTAAGTATTTAAAGTTTACGTTCTAGAAACTTTTTAGTTATTACAGTTATATAGATTTTTTTGTTTTATATAAGAAAGGGGTATGTACGTACGCGCGTAAATATCATGGTGATGCATAAAAAATAGACCGCCGTCTTTGGAAATCTAACATATTGGATTTACAATGACGTCACTTATTGTGTTTTGCTCATCAAGCTCTTTCATTTGATATCCATATCATGGGGGTGTATAAAAGAAATAGTCCGCCATCTTTGGGAGACCGCCATATTGAATTTACACTATTTACCATCTGACGGCCAGCTCTACCACTGCGCGCGCTCATTAGTCAAATCAAATAGTGCGCGCTTCCCTGACTTCCTGTTACATACTTCCGTCCCTTTTCTGGAAATCACACCCACAGATTGCAGGAAAGCGAGAGTAAAGATGTTACCCATCAAAAATGTTATAGTAAAAACTTTATTATTTTATATTCTTATTATAACTATTCAAATTATTTTTAATTATTTTTAACCAGGCTTTACTGACTTTTATCTAATTAATTTAAAACGTGTTCTTTTTATTTTAGTTAATTATGATAAAATTATATTTGCTAACTTTTTACTATGAGTAGTCTTCAACTTATATATATATATATATATATATATATATATATATATATATACTTATATATAGTCTTTATGTAATATCTTATTATTTTCGATTCTCTCTCGATCTCTAATCTAACATTATTTTTACGAATTATGACATTATCTTCACGATATTTTTTTCTAGTATCATCATCATAGTTTAGATTTTTTATTTTTTAAATGATAATTACAAATCGGCAGGATGTTTATTGAAAAATGTTAGTTAAGATCTTTAGTAGGAAATTAAATATAAATTATATTGTGTATATTATAACTTTTTTGTATATTATTCTTTTTTTTTACAGCTTTTGCACTCCACTTTAGGTTCTTATGATGGGCGAGTGTACGAGAGAATCATGGAAGAAGTAGAAAAGAACCCTGTGAACATGGAATCTGTTAGTCCAAGCTATCACAAATACATCAAACCGATGATAAAAGGGAAATTGTAACTAAACGAAAATTGAATTGAATGGAAATTGCATGTTAATTTGTATTTTTTTCCAATAAATGATCTTATATTATTGCTTTTTTATATTCAACTAACGACTTTCCCTCGCTTCGCTCGGGGGCGTCTTTCATCCCTAGCTACCTACGTTTTAAATAGACATACATAAATACTTATTGCGAGTGTACTTAATAGATATATGTTATTGCAGACTTTTCTGTAGGCCTATTTACAATTTTCTTGTAGAAAGAGACGAATCCATAGAACAAATTATTATCTTTTCCCGTAAAAATGAAAGATTTTCCTGTAGTAAAAGGTATTATTAATATTGACCCGAGTAATAAATTATCACTACACAAAATTTAGTTAAAATCGGTTTAGTGTTTTTTGCATAAAACGAGCACAAACAAAAAGACATACAGAAGCAGACAAATTTTTTAATAACTATTCTTTGGGGTCTATATTTTGTTCACAATATGTTACAGTTATTACAATTTAAAAAATAAAATTCATGTACTAGTTTTGCTAAGTTACTATTTTACCAGTATCCTATTATCCCATTAATATTATAAATGCGAATGTTTGTTACGCAATCATGCCAGAACGGATGAACGGATCTGGATGAAATTTATCGCAGAGATAGATTATAATCAGGAATAGCACATTTTTTACTCTATCCCGGAAAAATATACGGTTCCCGTGGGATTGATTTCTTTTTGTTTTTCACTAGGGACGAACCTGAGCGAAGCGACGGTGAGTCGCTAGTTTTAATATAATGTATAGACCCCTTATGACTTAATTTTATTGCGAATTGATAAGAGTGATATGCAGGTGAATAATTATTTAAAAAAACATCTAATAGATACATACATATGTACAAATTACGTAAATTAATGCATATAAGTAGTTTATGAATGTTTATCTTCACCTGCCTGACTTCAAAATATTAAACACTTACGTCATACTAGTATAGTTTTATGCCATCAGTGTTCAAGCAGAAGTTTTTCATTTTTTATTAAGTTTTATTATTTTAAAATTTATTTTCAATTTTTCGAAAGTTAGTTTAGAATTTTTTTCTAATTATTTTTTATTGCAAATTTTCATAGCGTAGCAAGGGCTGTGCAAAAGCGGAACGAGCGTAACGAGCTAGGTAGGTATATGGTATATACCGATTAAATGTAAAATCTATATCTATACATATAAAACTGTAGAGGTCGAATGTCTGTACTCCGAAATCGATTTAAATGAAATTTTGCATGGATTGCATGCATGCATATTACCTTATATCCCCGGTCAACATTTTTATATTTTCATCCCGGAAAATTAAAGAGTTCCCGTGGGATAGTTAAAAAACTATGGTATTATACAGGTTAGTACGCAACAACTTATGCACCTAATTTAGTAAAATGTGGCATGCTGATACCTTATATTGCCGGTCAAACAACAGGTAAAAAGTATTTTATTCCGGAAAAATGAACGGTTCCCGCGGGATAGATCTGTTTGTGCTTTTCGAGAGGCGAACCCGAGCGAAGCTAGGGTGAGACGCTTGTTAATAAAAAAACTTTTATATCATACTAATAACTTAATTTCGCTTCGCCTGAATTTGCCTAACAGTAGCCAGCCGCTTTAGCGTACAAACATACTCGTACCTTTATACACGCATATAATATAACCTGTCGCATTTATAATAATAGTCCGGTTTTTATTTATTTATAACTAGCGACTTATACTCACTTCGCTCCTGTGCGTCTCTAGGTACGATTTTTTTAGCGGAACCCTAATTTTTTTTCTAATTATAAGATTAGCGGAAACAGAGAGACAGAAATATTAAAAAATGAGTCTTTCTTATAAAGTTAGGAAAAACTACAAAATAAAGGCCTATATAATTTCATATGCATTTAGGTAGTAAAAAGCTGTTTTTTTTTTTAATATTACAAACATTCACTGCAGTTTTATTTATCTGTATAGATATTATAAATACTAATACACAATATAGATAAAATTTAATAATATTACAGATAATCGTTAGTTTTGTTTGTTTGTGATAAGATTGTGACTGCCATTGTTATTCTATATTTGGACGTGCGATTATGCTGCCATCTAGTTTAAAATATTAGTAGCAATTTATATCATTATTTTATGATGACGATTTAAAACAAAGTCTAATTGTAGAATTTGTGAGTAAAATAGGATAATTCATCTTATTTACCTCTTATAATTTATTTTAGGATATATTTTGGTAGATTTTTTAAATAATATGAATTTTTAATGTAAAATAATTAACTATTATTGAAAAATGGATTTAAGTTCATCACAGTTCATCTGTCAAAATATAATTTAGCTTACTTATTGTTCTTCAAACACTTCTTGTAAAATGATGTAAGGCCTTTTGATTGTCGTATGATTACTCGATTAAGTGCTTCACGCGTGCCAGTGTAATCGTTAAATGACAATTGATTTGCGTAGGGGTTTTTTAATTTTTTTAATTTATAATTATTTTATTTAAGTTTTAGTAAAGTGGAACTTTCATAGATTGTGATTGAGTACTATGTGTAGTTAACAAATACTGCTTAGTATATTAAATGAACGATTCACTTTATAAACTGTTTAGCAACTACCCGTTACATATTTCATTGCAATAACCTTACATATATGCAATTTATGAACGCAAAAGTATTTTCATACGAAACAGAATATCGCTATAACAAAATATTTACAAGTAATCAATTATAACAATATATTTTAAAACGTTGAGTATTATTAATATTTTTAACTGATTTCAAAAAAAAGAGGTTATCAATTTTATACATTTGTATGTATGTAATATTTTTGGCACTGTAATAGGTATATTCACATATGATAATGTTTTATGGCTTCCAAACAAATATAGAAAATTTTATGTATGTATGTATGTAGGTATGTATGTAGGTATGTATGTAGGTATGTATGTAGGTATGTATGTAGCTATGTATGTATGAATGTATGTATCTATGTTTGTCCACACATTACTCCGAAACTAATAATCGTATTGTGACCATTTTTTTATTGGATTACATTTCCTTCAACTTAGGGAACAGTGCAAGTTTTATCAAAATCGGTTCAATAGTTTTCAAGATGTGACGTGCAAGTGTGACGGCCTGGTTTGTTAATACGAAAGTGGTGTCAATTTTTTTTTCTTATATAATAGGTGAAGTTAATCTTAAGATAATTATTTTAGTGATTACTTTGTGGACCTACTTAAAAGTACTAATAACTAATACTAAGTTATAAGTATTTATATACAGAATACATATTATTCTGTAATACGTCTTTAGGGAAAGCAGAGAAAGTTAGTGTTGCAACTCGTTTCATACGTAGACTCAATAAGTCTTAAGTCTCAAGCAAAAATCTGCGCTTACTTTAAATCTGTGTGAACATTTTCTGTTATAACTTCCTATTTAGTGTTTACCAACCATTATTTTAATTGTAATTTCATTAGGTACGCTTGTGTTTCCACTAGCGATTACCCGCGGCAGTGACTGTGTAGAGCCATTTACCTGTAGGTAAGTTAACACCAATTTAGTTAGGCAATTTCGAAATTATCTCATACAAACAGATAGATATAAATTAATAAAATATATTTTTATTTTGCTATAGACTTAACTATACGTATATGAGCTTGAGAATTTGTTCTATTGTTACAACCTGACTTATCTATTTTTTTATATATGCACAATTAATAATTTATGTTAAAAACAATTTTTCATCACTATTTTATTTCTACTGGTGTTTGAAATACACAATTATTTGTTTGTTAAGTATTCAGTGTTCGTATTTTTATTAATCAGTGATTTTATCTATAACAAAAGTGACCTTTTGTGATAACATGGGGTGTTACCTTCTTGCAATTTTTGGGAAAGTATTTTTAATTTTTATATTTCTATAAATGTTCGAATTACGCCAAAAATACTTCTAATTCTTTTTACCCGACTTCGGTTCGGTCCGAAAGGAGGGTTATGTGTTTGAGCCGCCGATACTAAAAACTTGTTGCGAGTTTTGCCAAATGTCTATGTCATAATACTATGTTCCTACGCTACCTACTTTTTTTTTACGGAATCTGGTTTTTTGTTTTTGTTATTTAATTTGTTTTTCTTATAATATTTTATAATTGCACTTTACTAATTCAGTACTAACATTTACAACAAAATAATATACCTAGAATGACGAGGAATTTAAATCGTTACTATTTAACATTATAATCACAACCACTATCGTCATCTATATATATACAATATACATATTACTTACTGTCTCGGTGGTATAGTGGCTAGCATGTACGGCTGCACACCCGGAGGTCCTGGGTTCGAGTCCCGGGTCGGGCCAAGTTTAGTTATTGAGTCATTTTGTATAGTAAGCCTTAGTAACAGCCTGGAGTTGGGAAGTTGGCGGTGTTTCACCCCCGTGCCTCGGAGAGCACGTAAAGGCGTCGGTCCTGCGCCTTAACTCTCACTGGTCGTGTCGAGTGGTCGTCCCACCAGAGTAGGAGAGTGACAGGAATAGAGAGTGCAGTTGTGTCTCACTTGAGCACTATAATATCTCCTGCACAGTTGGCTAGTCTCAATGAGATTGGCCGCCGAGGCCGGACTCGGTCAGGAGAACATCATACATCATCACATATTACATATAATAAAATTGTAACTGAGTCGTAAGTGTACGTGAAATATTTTTTGGAAAATCTTATTGAAATAGTCATTACTATCGATATAGAGACTAAATCTACAGTTTTTAAAATTTTTGTCTGTCTGTCTGGGAATCCATCACGGGATCTGTCTAGTTGTTAACTGGACAGATTTTGATGAAATTTGTTATGATGATAGCCGGTTATCTGGGTCAACATATAGTTTTTTTTAATGGGGAAAAATATCTCACCTCTGAGAAATCTATACTAAATATTAAAACGTAATAAGGGCCGAACCCTAGCGGAGCGAGTGTGAGTCGCTAGTTTATTATAAATAATACACAAAATTATGTTTGTTGGTTTGTCTTTATTTTATGCAGCAACAGATTGACAATATTTTCTGTATATTCATCAGTTTCAGTATTCAGCTTAAAACCTGTCGAATCAAAACAATAACTTAATTATTTAAAATTAATATTATGTATATCTATAAAAAAATTTTTTTTTGTAGTATGTAAAATGAAAAATTTACTTTATTGACATGGTAAATAATTAATATCCCATTTTATATACATACATACAATAAAAATAATGTTCTTGACCATTAAAGTTAGCATTTTTTATCAGCACAGTACCTATTATACCTGAACTCAAAAGTAAAATGACAGTCATACTATATATACCTATATTATTTTATTTATTTGGAACCCAAATTATATACTAAGAATATATTTCTTAACTCAGTATAATTATACATATACAAAATTGCAGGATAATAACGACAAAAACAATAAAGAAAAACCTATAACTTCATAACAAAATCTGTGTAAGAAACTATGACAAAAACGTAAATATATGTAACCTACAAGTTTCGTTGCTTATTATTTTTTTATGTTATTGTATAAGTTACGCTAATAGCCGTACCTAGCGTAGGTATATCATTTGTTATCGTGTAGAACGATAAGTCATTATAATCGTCTGCATTGTGCGCTAGTTCAATGTTCGCTCGTTCAATGTTCATCAGTGAAGGTGACATGACGTCGAAAGTGAATTCTGATCTTCTAAAGGAGAGAAATAAGTGTAACTTTGATATACAAGAATTAACACATTTACTAGACGATGGGGCTGATAATACTAAGCAGAGAAGGGATTTTGGTGAGTTAATTCATATTATTTTATTTAAATGCTTACATATATATATGTATTTTATGTTAAGTTATAAAAAACAATTTTGTTTAATAACATACAAACAGATATAACCAGAGATATGTAAATAATTCTTTTGGCAATATTAATTGGAATTTTTTTATTTTACTAAGTTAAGCTTTAAGGCTAGGTTATGTTTACGTTTTAAGGTGAGTCTTAGTTTTTTATAATAATATATGTATTTATCCAAACAATAGTGCTCAGCGCCTGTGAGAAAAGTGTAGCAATTATGTTTCTATGAAAGTTATCTATGAGTCAATAATTCTTCAAGACATTTTAGATGAAAAAAGAATGTTTGTCTAGTTTTTCATCAGTTAGATACAATTTTAAATTATTATGGACTAGCGACTCACCCTTGCTTCGCTCGGGCTCGAAACTAGTGAAAAAAAGAATACAAGTCTATCCCACGGAAACCTATGTGCTATTCCAGACTATAATCTATCTCTGTGGCGAATTTCATCTATATCCGTTCAGCCGTTCTTGCGTGATTGAGTAACAAACATCCATCCAAACTTTCGCATTTATAATAATAATTAATGTGATTATATTTTAGAGGAAAAAATCCTCAGTGTGAAGGGAATCTTAGACGATGTGCCAGAAGAATATCTTAGTCATAAAGAAAAATATGAGAACGCTGTGCGAAAAGCCGTTCTTTTAACACGGGCATTAAAAACTTACAATGATGAGAATTTGCCTTTTGAAGAAAGGGTTATGTAAGTATATAAGAATATATCTAAGAAGGTCAATAAGTAACCTGTTTATGTTTTTTTTTTCTAGTTGAAGAAAAATCTAGAAAAGATCGTAGTACTAGCTTATTGTGTTTTTCAATTAAGCAAAAAGAAGTGGACTATTTACGTGTGTAGAGATACATAATACAAGGAATAAATATAAACAAGCTTAGTACGTCGTAGTGGTGCATTAGTTACCCAATTTTCTATTTAGAGTCAATAGAGAAAGGACTGATACTGAAGTAATTCTTGTCTCTCTTTTGCAAAAATATGTGAAAATAAAAAAACCCTAATAAATTATTAACATTGTACATGTCGATTTGGGAGGTATTTTTGGCTATTCCCACAGATTTTTGGTTGAATTTAAAATAAAAGCTGTTTTTTAATAGGCAAATTTTTTGAACGTTTTCAACCAGAAAGACCTGTTTTTTTGTAACGTATGGTATTTTCTTTAAATGAATATGATACGCCTTAGGTTGCGCATATAATTTACATATATTATTTTAAATAACATTAAAAACAATATCTTAATTACTTTTTTAATTTATTTCCAAGTTAAACCTTGGATCTTAAATTAAATTTTAATTAATTTTTTCAATGTTACAAGGAGAAAAATAATCTATTTTAATAATAAATATGTTAAATTAGGGCTAGTTTTCGCACTTCGGTATATGGCGCTATTCATAAAGACGTTTCGCCCTTCTTGCTGCATACTGCCATGTTTCTGACCGCTATTTTGGGCCAAGGAACTGATGAACAAAGAGATTATTGGATTAAAAGAATTCTAAATTACGAAGTTATTGGAACTTACGCTCAGGTAACAAAGAACAAAACTTATAATAATAACATAAAATATTATAGTAATTATAAAGAAATTGAACTAATTACGAACGTAAATAAGTCTTATAATTTACTCAATTACATATTAAATACTTGCATGGATTAAATACTTGCATGCAGCTTGCTGTGCCAGCGGTCGCGGGTTCGAGTCCCGCTGGGGGTTCATTTGTGTGATAAGCACGAATTTTTGTACTCCAGCCATGGGTATTTATATTTATAATATGTATGTATTTAAAGTTGTGTATGTGTGTAGTGTATCAACTTTCTGGTATCCATAACATAAGCCTCGTAGCTTACCATGGAACTAGATGGTTAATTAACTACTAGTGTGTTAATATCCCAACAAATTTACTTTATTTGTTTCTATTATTAACTCGTAACTAGTCTATACGATACTTATGAAACCAAGTCAAGTGGGTACAAATTCCTTGTTTCACACCTATAATATTTTCATATGCGAATCATTTTTAACATGATTACCATTTGTCTTACGATGATGGAAAACATCCTGAGGAAACCTGCATGTCTGAGAGAACCTTTAATAAGTTTTTGAAAGACACGTGAAAACCGCCAACCCGCACTTGGCCAGCGTGGTGGACTACGGCCTGATCCCCCTCGTATTGAAAGGAGGCCCGTGCCCAGCAGTGGGGCGTTAAAAAGGTCTGAATAGAATTTATATGGTACAATTATATTTTCAGACCGAATTAGGCCACGGAACGTTCATTCGTGGTTTAGAAACTCAAGCTACCTATGATCCAAGCACAGAAGAATTCATTCTACACAGTCCAACGTTAACTTCTTATAAATGGTGGCCTGGGGGCTGTAAGTATAAAATATGTATTTCTAGAAGTTTTTGTTTAACTTCACTCGTGTACATGTTACAAACAAGTAAGAACCAATAAGAAAACCAAATCTTTGATAGGATCACTATTACGTTACATATTTGCGAAATCTACTTGATATATGGGGCATTGGTGAACAAAAGTGAGGTTCTGAAACTCGTACATATTAGGCATATTATTTTGTTTTGGATTCGTCCCTAAGTTGATTCCCCATATAAGCTTTCATTCCCATTTTCACCCCCTTAAGGGATGATTGCTGGAATAAAAAATATCCTATGTCTTTCCCAGGCACTCAAACTATTTTTTTATCTAATTTCATCTAAATTGGTCCAGTACTTTTTAAGTTTATACGTTACAAACATACAAAAATACAAATATTTCCTCTTTATAATATTAGTGTTGATGATAATTGATCGTCCTTCTAAACAATAAACAGTGAACATATTTTCTATTGTAAGTAACTATTATGATTTCTTAATATATTTGTTTCTATGTAGTAGGACACACAGCAAATTACTGCGTACTGATGGCACAGCTCTATATAAATGGCAAGAATTACGGTATCCAACCGTTTACGGTCCAGATTAGGGATGAAGAAACTCATATGCCCTTACCAGGTATCAAAGTGGGGGAAATTGGACCAAAACTTGGTTTTAATTCAGCAAACAATGGATTTCTTGGATTTGACAATGTAAGGATTCCCAGGACCATGATGCTGATGAAGAATGCACAAGTATTAAAGGTGATCAAATGAAAACAATGACTATATATATTTTTAGTGTAATATTATGATAATAATCTTATGTAACAACATACTGGAATAATGGAAGAACATTTAAAAATATCTCTACCATAAAATATGATATTTTTACTAAGTATATGCGATATTATTGCTATATGGAAGTAGACAACAATATATTTTATATTTATTGAGAACAATATATTTATGGCGACTCGTTTCGCTCAGTTTGTAGTGACCCTACTTGCTGTGCCAGCGATCGCGGGTTCGAATCCCGCTGGGGGCTTTCATTTGTGTGTTGAGCACGAATGTTTTTACTCCAGTCATGGGTGTTTATATTTATAATATGTATGTATTAAAAAGTTATATATGTGTAGTTTATAAACTATCTGGTATCCATAATACAAACCTCGTAGCTTACCATGGAACTAGATGGTGCTGTGTATTAATGTCCCAAAATATTTATTATTTATTTACATAGGAGATAATTATTCTAAAGGACCCTCCATTTACCTTTTTTTTGGTAGAATAAGATCTTCCCATCGCACAAAGGATAAAGGGTACAAACAGTAGTTTTCATAATTTTTTAACATTACATTCTGAAGGTTTAATTTAATATAATGTTTTTTTCAGGATGGCACATTTAAAGCCTCATCGAACAGTAAGCTAACTTACGGTACTATGGTGTACGTAAGAGTTACAATAGTGAACACTGCCTCCAAGTACCTTGAAAGAGCAATCACTATTGCGATTAGATATTCTGCTATACGGAGACAGTCTCAACCAAAACCTAAGTAAATATACGTTTATAAATACACTGGCTTTGCCCACTCGAGTTAACCGAGCTTTAACTGACTTGCTTAATACAGATTAACTCAGATAAATATACAGACATATACTCGTAAATATTATAAATGTGAAAGTTTGTGAGTATGGATGTTTGTTACTCTTTCACGCCAGAACAGCTGAACGAATATGAATGGAATTTAGCACAGAGATAGATTATAGTCTGGAATGACACATAGACTAGGCTCTTCATCTCGGAAAAATGTACGGTTCCCGTGGGATAGGTTTGTTATTAAAAAATATAAAAGTTGAAATATTATTTCAAAAGGCGATTTCTGGCAACCACCCCATAGATACTGCTATAGTACTTATGACTTATTTTATTCAGCTTAAAATTATGTTTTAAATTTATGGATTCGATTCCCGGACTAAAATAGTTTGTATTTTTTCTGACAAGATATTCTCAGTAACAGCTGTTACACTGTTGTTGTACTGTTAACGATATGTACGCATTTTCGCAGATGAATCGTCTAGTGAGATAAAAGGATATACTGTAAGCCGAAAAAAAAAGACTTCTGCTAAGACTATATAAAATACTAGCCCCTTACCCTCGTTTCGTTCATCTGCGTCAGTAGGTGTCAAAACGTTATTCAATATGTTACTCTAACAATAAGTCATAATTTCTTTGTACTAAATCTCTAAATCCCTCCAGCCGTTTCAGCGTGAACAAGTAGGTAACAAACATACATACATGCTTAAATAAATTAAATTATGTTTTCAGTGAACCAGAGCCACAAATTTTGGACTATGTTACGCAACAGCATAAGCTAATCATAGGTATAGCAACAGTCCACGCTTATCACTTCACAGTCAGGTGGCTCTGGGACTTGTACATCAAAATAAACAAAGATTTAAATCAAGGGAAACTGAGCGACTTGCCCGAGGTAAATATAATGTTTGCTGTAATTCATAAGTGTAAAACTCACCCAAAAACTAGCAGAATAATTTTGTATATATATGTAGATAATAAAAATGAGAATTAAACTTTTCATGTCCAATTGAAATTTATTAATATATTTTAAGAAATTATGAGATTTCAATTCAATTCTATTGTTAATGACTTTAAAGCGTGCCAGTTCAGCACATATTACATCGCCAATATCACGTAGAATGGAGAAGACACGTAGGAGATGTTTTTTAAGGAATCTTTTTAATCATTTGTCATCTTGTTTCCAGCTTCACGCGTTAGCCTGTTGTTTGAAAGTTATCAGCTCTTCAGATTGTACGGCCCTTATAGAAAAGTGTCGTCTAGCGTGCGGCGGACACGGGTACATGCTGTCCTCATCTCTGCCCCTGTTATATGGCTTGTCCACAGCTACATGCACTTATGAAGGAGAAAATACAGTTTTGCTGTTACAGGCTGCGAGGTGAGGTCAAATTTTGTAAATTTCCGTCTATCTTTATGACCTTGTATTATTTAAATAGACTAAGCCGTGGTATTTAATTAGTAAGGCGCTTTATTTGAAAACCTATTGTAGCGGGTTCAAATTCGGTTTTTTCTCGATGAAATTAATATCTATTATATGAAGTATGGATTTTGACATTTGTCTAAAATGTGAAAAATATGATAGTTTTAGATAAAGGGTTATAGAAGTTAATTTGTGCATATAATAAAAACCTCGTAAGAATATCGAATAAGAAATAATTTTATTTCAGATCTTTGGTAAAAGCTTGGTATCAAGCTGCCAAAGGTGAAAAACTCAGCCCTTCCATGGTATATCTCACAGAAGACGTTTCGACCCCATGGAATAATTCCCTCAATGGAATACTGAAGGGTTTCCAGAGGACATCTAGGGGGTAAGATAATGAACAATACGTTAGTAGCAAATGTAATATATTTATTACTTAATAGCCTTTTTATCAAAGATAAATTAAAATATTTATTGATTTAAATACTGTTTTTAATCTTATCTTGTTATATCGGAAAAATGACAATAAAGGTTATCAGTATGAAATTATATTATATACATATCCATACATTATATAGCACTAGGTCTTGCGCGCGGCTTCACTTGCATCTTTGCTTATAGTCTAAAACGTTTTAATATCAGGACGCCCTATACGTAAAATAGAAGGACAAACTAACAAATTTAAAGATAGCACGTGCTTAATAATAGAGTTACTTCTTCTATTACTCGTACGGGATCGTAAAATGAACTCCTATAGTTTTTTCAACCATTATCAAAAATGTAAAGAAAAATTACTACCAGATATTTTTTTATTATATACTTTTTTGCAGTAAATTATCCGCTGCTGTGTCCAGCCTTGAGCAATACAAAGCATCGGGACTGTCGTCTGAAGATGCGTGGAACAAAGCGTCCATACAATTAACTTCGGCCGCCGAGGTATTTATTTTTAGTTGGTAAATAGTCCAAGAATAGCACGGTTTTGTGTCATTCTATTTGTTTACATTGAATTGTGTTGTATGCGATTATACTTAATGTTACTGAGTGTATTGTAAAGCAATACATATAACAAAAAGATTACTGACCCGTGTCTCTCTTTTTTGGAAAATCTTCTAATATTCATTATTATTATTACATAGGCCAAATGTACAGTCTGTCTGTCTGTCTGTTACCGTATTACGAGTAACTAACATATTACATGATATAACATACAGTATGTGTAAGGTAGTGTTAGCTCAGTGGTAACGCAGTCGCTCAGGAAACCGTGTGAAGCGGGTTTAAATCCTGGGTTTCGCACCTCTGATATTTTCATATAGGAATCTTTTCAACATTATTTGAAGAAGCCTGCATGTCTGAGAGGAACTAGCAAGTTTTCGAAAGACATGTGAAGTCCGCCAACCCGCACTTGGCCAGGGTAGTGGACTATGGTCTGATCCCCCTCGTATTGAAGGGAGGCCCGTGCCCAGCTGTGGGACGTTAAAAAAGGGCTGAATACATGAATGTGAAGGGAATTAATACTATGATACTATCACATAGTATGTAAAATATAATTTAAATATTGTACTTAGGCGCACGCAAGAGTCATCGTGCTGTCCGTTTACAAGAGTGAAATAGATCAGCGAGTGTCAAATGTATCTCCGCCTCTGAGAGCTGTGTTACAGCAACTTCTAGAACTCTACTTTATTTACTGGACACTAGAAAAGATTGGAGATTTATTATTGGTAAGTCTGGAAATTATTTACCAATTATCTATGTAGGATGTAATTAATAAATATAATAGGATTTTTTAATAGGTTGTACAGTATAAGTTATATATAATTAATTCATAGCCGATGCAAAGCAAATCTAATATATTTCGATACGTAAAATACATATTTACCTATTAGAGATTCATTTAAAATATTGTAGGCACCGACTTCGAAAATATCTGATTAGGTATCTGTTCTAAATGAAAACCTCCGTTTAGTTACTTTTTACCTTTTTGTGCCTGAAAATCGGTTTTTATTTTATTTTTTTAAGTTTTAATTTTTCCATTTTTAGTGTAGATGTAATTAGCAGGTAATTTTTAAGAAGAGAGTTTTTTTATAACATATTCGATTAAATAATTTATTTAAAAATATATATTAATTGTTGATTTTTTTAAAAACCGCTCGACCGATTTCGATAAAATTTATATGGGACCACCTGGGAAGTAAACCCTTTGAAACAATTGAGAACCTCCTCCTTTTTGGAAGTCGGGTTAAAATAATAAAAAAGCTTCAATACATAGGTACTTTTTAAATAAAACTATCTTTTCGAATTTTTTCGCAGATTTATTTTGATTTTTAGTTCCCGACGTTTCAAATGATTTACAGTAAGCAAAATTTTTGTAGTAAAAATATATTTAAAATAAATCAATAATTAATAAATAAGCATAAATCTAAGAGAGTATTAAGTAAAAATTTATAAGATAATCCAATAGTTTTTAAAATTTTGTCTCAATTTGGAATCGAAGTGCCTACCACGACCAGTTGACAAGTAGCCAATGAACTATTAGAATGAATGAAAGTTATTAGTTCGTATATTTTTATAGTCATAAAAATTTATATGCTCTATTAAATCAAGTTTAAGATATTTATGTTTCCTCTGAATGAACGTATTATTTTGTAACATGATATTATTAATATATAAATAACAAATATTAGAGAGCTTCTAAAATATGAGATCACGTTAGATGTTTTTAATAAAATTTGCTTTTATGTTTTTTTTAATAGCTTGTATGAAGTAGTATGTAGGTATACTAGATATTGCTTGTGGCTTTGCATACGTCTAGTTTAAAACGAAATGATTTAAAAAAATATGGGGCATATTGGTATCCCCAGAGTCCTTAGTTACGGTACTCTTATCTATACTAATATTATAAAGAGGTAAAGTTTGTAAGTTTGTATGTAAGGGGTAATCCCTAAAACTATTGATTCAATTCTGAAAATTGTTCCACTAATAGAATGTTACAATGCCATCGAGTATTTAGTGTGACCTGGAGTAATATCTATACATATAAATGGGGAATATCCCCACGGGAAAACATAAATAACTGGTTCTGTCGAGTCGTCCTCAGAAAATATGGCTAACACTGGCTAAACCTTAAGAGATACATCAAAACAATGTACTAGAAAATTGTAGGCCTTAAAAAGGCCTACAGAAAAGTCCAAATAGCTGATGTCTATGTCCTAAGGTACACTCGTAATAACTATTTATATCTATTTAAATCGTACATAGGGATGCACCCAAGCGAAGCGACTGTAAGTCGACAGTACAGTTCTAAGGGTCTGTTAAGCAGCTAGGGAGGCTTTCGAGTAAAGGTAGGGTATGTTGCTATTAGTTAATATATGATATTTTTATGTAGTAGATCATTTTGTATGTAATTTCCTATAGAAAACCTTGCCCAACTATGTTTACGAACAGACATGATTAAAAAATACAATTATTAAATATTAGCGACTCAACCTCGCTTCGCTCGTGGTCGTCCCTAGGTTGTTTCCCCATACAACCTTTTATCCCCATTTGTCACCCTCTTAAGGGATGATTTCCGGGATAAAAAGCCCTTCCCAGGGGCTCAAACTATCTTCTTATCAAATTTCATTAAAATCGGTTCAGTAGATTCAGAGATCGCCCCAGATTCAGAGATTACCTCCTACAATGTCACAGAACTCACAAACTTCACCTCTTTATAATATTAGTATAGATTATTCAAAACTAGCAATCCAACATGGATTCTTTCGGAAGTAAAGTGACCTATACATTGTAGATAGAGTGTTTTTTATCTAGTTCGCATCGCGAAGATAAGATCATTCAAACAATTAGAAAAAAAATTATTAAGTATGAATTAAATTGTTTATATATACAAGATTAATTACTGCGCCTTGAAATTAAGACATTTTAAGAAAAGTTCCATGATAACGGTGGTATGAAAAATAGAGAGGTACATCTTTAAAATGATAAAAAAAAAACATAAATTATGGCAAAGCCGTGGCAAATAGCTAGTATATTTATATGTAATAATTATAATAATCCTTCTTTGAAATATAACGAAATAGAGGAAATGTCATCTTTAGGTAATAGATTTCACGAGTTAATGAACACATAAATAACACAATTTTATAACTTCTTCTGAATTCATTAGGTAAATTAGAATTTATGTATTCAAAAGAGCTATAACTGCGTTAAATAGAATAAGTTATGTTCTTATAATTTGCTTATTTATTAAATAAAAGATCGAGTTCGATTCCTGATGGCTGGTAAGTCTTAGGCCTTCGAGTCCTTTACCTCCGGCGTTCTAATGCTATAAAAGTTAGACACACCCACTACATACTTTATTACTAGCATTTTCCCGCAGATCTGCCCGCGTATTTCAATTATGTAATTATAAATTATAGCCTAAGTTGTTACTCTGAAGTATAAGCTATATTACAGTAAACTTTTATCAAAATCCGTTCAGCAGTTCTTGCGTGAATGACATACATCCATATTTTTATTATATTAGATTAGAATTAAATATGTACATATAACTTTTATTTCCCACGTTTCAGGTTTCAGGTCAAACTTTTTTCCACAGGAAATTTTTTTACTTATAAAAATAACTGTAGTATTTATTTAAAAAAATATATTTTTGGACGACAAAAATTGAGGTGCGTCGTTTGGCTTTCTCTACTAACCCAAAGGTTATTTGACAAATCAAATGACGTACTCGTATTGCGGTTATTTAAAAATAAAGAGCGTTTGAATAATTTTACAAAAAATAATTTAATGAAACATTTTTTTAAAACACTTAAAAAAAATTGTTGTTCACAATTTAATTAAAAAAAAAACAAGATAAAATATTTTTTGCCCCCCTGGAGAGAGCTTTTTTCGCCAGTTTTGCTCAGCACTGATTTTTTCTTTCCATGATTAAAGATGACATGAAGTTCAGTAAAAAATTGTAAAAATTTAATGCATTTTTTTATTTTGATTGAAGTTCAATTATGTTTGGTTTTTGATGATCACTCTTCAACATTGTACTCGTATATAGAAATAATATCAAATGATTAGCCTGACTATAGTTTAGTAGTTTCCATTACAGATATGACGTATTGCGGTCAAATAATTGTAGATATAAAATTTTATAGCATCTCGTCTCAAACGTACTCGTAGCAAAAAATGTATCACATCTTTGTACTTATCTATATAGGTCACTGTAGCCAACTGCAATCATCGCAATGGATATTACAATATTGCTATTTGGAGTCATTTTTAGAGCGTGCGCACATATTAAAGTGATTTAAAAACATTTTGTTTTTAAAGTTAGACTTCTTTTGGGACGTTTGGAAAAAACTATGAGAGTAAAATCTTTACACACAGCAGCTAAAAAGCGACATAATGAAGTTAGCTGATATCTGTTTGTTGCCATGGTAACCGTTGTTATTGTCTGACAAATGATATATAATATTATATTCTTTCCTTAAATGATATTCTATAATAGGCATACTCGTAAATGCTTTATTTAATTATGTTATATAATTTATCATTCCTTTTACAAACAGAGAGCTGTGACATACGGGGTGAAATCTAAATAAATTAAAAATTTAACTTAAAAAAATAAATTAATCTACCGAATATTCAAAAACGATAGCAAAGGTTCATTATACGAGTATTATAACAATCGTATGAACACGTAAACAGAGGGACGAAAATTTTTAAAACTATTAATTTACTTTTTAATCCATTCCAAACCTATCTAATAATAATTTACTGAAAGAAACATTACGTCACTAAACATGTAATTTCGATGTTATAGTTTTTTTTGTACAGAATTAGTGTGCGCGGTAATCTTATAATAATTCATGCCATAAATAAATTTAACCTCTAAGATAGGGTCTATGATACAGTTATCCAGATATGAGGTCAATGGTCCGCATTGATTTGCAAAAAATGAACTCCTGCTGACTCCATATGTCATTGAAACAAACCGGACCGTAATTCGTGTTTTTGAACGTTTATTAGGCACTAGTGACTTACCCTGGCTTGGGTTGCGTCCCTAGGTACATTTTAACTTTAATCCTGTTTCTAAATTAAAAGTAGCCCAAGATACTCCTTATAACATCAGCTATTTGCCATTGAAAGTACCGTCAAAATCGGTCCAGCCGTTTCGGAGATTAACCGGAACAAATAGACAGATAGGCAAAAATTTTAAAAATTGTTTTTTGTAAGTGCCGTATATAATTTCATATGCCATCAGTAAAAAGCTGTTATTTTGACATTACAAACAGACACTCCAATTTTATTTATCTGTATACATAATTAGTATTCGTTTAGAGGGGAAGTGATAAAATGATTACTGAGTTTATAATGGAATTAGCTTTTGAACCGGTGTTACCTTGTTTTGATTTTGATGTCTATAAGAAATAAAAAAATATTTATTATGTGTAATGAAATAATAAAAGAATGATTTACAATGTTTCTCTATGTATTCGTAAATTTCTTCGGTATATTTAATTGGTCATATTTTTTTTTAATTTGCAAATATTTTACTTTTTTTTATTCATTTGAAATATGTATCGTCATTGTAAATATTTACTTTTTGGGAGTCGAATCTGCGATATTGTCTATAGTCGCACAGTGCAAATTTAAGAGAGACACTTGCAATGATTGTGATATTCATTAACATACATTTTCAATATGAATCTCTTCTAATAATATAAAGAGGAAAAATATGTTTTATTGTTTGTTTGTTTGTGTCGAATAGATTCCGAAACTACTGCACCGATTAAAATGAAATTGGGTAAGAAGATAGTTTGTGACCCTGAGAAGGACATAGAATAGTTTTTATCCCGGAAACCATCCCTTAAGGGGCTGAAAATGGGGTGAAAGTTTGTAAGGAAGGGTGAGTCGCTATATTTAACATTTTTAGTTGAATGCTTTTAAAAAAATATAATTCATTTTTTGTTTAAAAAACTTTTTTAAAGTTAGTGTAGTAATAAGAACATTTCTTCCAAAATGAAACCTTTTAAACCTTACTATTTAGATTTAGGACGAGTGTTTTAGTAAAGGACTATTTATATATACAGAAGATTACGATCGGTATAACAAGTTTCGTTCGATATCGATATAACAAGTTATCGATACGCCTTTAATGGGCAGCGAAAATCAATTTGAACTCGATTCACAAACGATTTCATTAATTAATATACTATTTATAATATAATAATATTTTAATTTGTTATATTTTTTTCAACAGTATACTAAACTCTGTGAAAAGAATGTTCGAAAATTGCAAAGGAGATATGAAGATTTACTTGAGAATATTCGACCTAATGCTGTAGGATTGGTGGATGCTTTCGATTTAAGAGATGAGGTTAATAAATCTACTTATATCTTGAGTTTAGGTTATTTATGTTTTAAGTTTAAAAAAAATTTTTAAATAATTTTTTTTCTTAAAAAGAAATACAAGGCCTTTAACACAGTGTTATATCATGATTTTTTGAATCTCCAAAATGGCTACATGTCAGTTATTTTCCCTTTATCAAAAGCTTTACACTATCAAATGCATTGGGGTGTTTGAGTATCAAATATATACACAATAATTAACTAATTAAAAAAAATTACAATTGTATAATAGTATTAAAGTTAATAGTTATTTCTTTGACCTAAGTATTTTTCTATACATTGGAGATTTTGGGTTCGATTTCCCTCTATACTCAAAAACAATATACAATTTTTATATCTATACATACTTTTACGTTGAATAATGGATTGGACTAAGTACCGAATATTTATTTCGTACATAATAAAAATTAATTAATTCATTACAGAAAACTAAAATATGTTACATAAAAGAGTACATAAATTAATAGAATACATTTTGACATAACGACTTGACTATTGATCTCTATGTCAAAGATTTCGGATTCGATTTCCGCTCCAAATGTGTATATATTACTAATGCTAAATGGTATATGTTACCTATTTATATTTTTGTTTTTCAGATTTTGAACTCTACACTAGGAGCTTACGATGGGCGAGCTTATGAGCGCTTAATGGAGGAAGCAATGAAAAGCCCCCTTAATAAGGAGCCAGTAAATGAGTCTTTTCATAAGTACCTTAAGCCTTTCCTTCGTGGAAAGTTATAATATTTAACTTAATTGTCATCAATATTGATTTCTTTAATTAAATAAGGAGTTTTTAATACAATTATTAAATAGATTGTCTTTTTTTTATTTTTTTTAATGTATTGTTTTTTAATGTTCATTCTCTCCTAGATATCTAAATTGTTTAAAATTATGCAATTTGAATTAAGAAATGGGTATAGCTCAAAATATTTGGATAGAAAACTAAGGCAAGCTATTTCAACCGGTGTATATTTTCTAAATTATACTAATTTTATATTAATTTATATTAGCATCAATTTGTATTTTTATAAAAGGTTGATAGTATTTTTTGGTTGTACATAAAAATAATTGTTAAAACAATGATGTTGAAAATAAAAAGAAAGTATTTTTTGAACCAACTCTTTTATTAATCATGACCTTCACAAATAAATTAATATGGAAAAAGTTAATAAATAAAATAAATAACTTAAACACTAATATGCAAATACATCAAGACAAGTTATAAAGCTGTTAAAGTCGTCTTAACGTTGTTTGCTAATGTAGAGCATGATTAGGCACTAGCATTGGCGTTAGCTGAGCCTACACCATAAGTGTTAGCTGCAGAGTTGACAACCCTATAGGCTGTGTTTAGACCTTGGTTTCTAGCAGATGAAGTAGCAGAACCCTGACCAGTAGTTTGAGCATTTGCGTTCAGATGAGAAGAACCGCGTAAGTAGGGAGCATGTCCATCAACACGTAGTGCGCCATAAGCTGGTCCGTTAGCGATGGAATTCGCTGATCCGTAACCCTTGGCAGCAGAAGAAACGAAGCCATGCCCTGCAGCATCAACATCAGCATGAGCATTGGCATTACCGTAGCCAGGTCCGTAAATGTTGGCAGTAGATTTGACATTGCCAATACCATTAGAGTATACAGGGATAGCCTGTTCATATTCATTAGTGTTGGCAGAAGATTTGGCAGAACCACCGAGTCCATTACTGTTAGCTACGGAATTGAAATAACCAGCTCCATTCAAATTAGCATTAGCGTTGGCAGAGCCTTGGCCTTGTGTATCAGCGACCGTTCTGATTGAGCCGAATCCATTGGATTCAGCGGAAGATTTGGCAGAACCACCATTAGCTTGGCTAGCAGCGCGAACTTGTCCAGATGGAGTGCCATAAGCAGTGCCAAATCTCCAGTGTATTCCCCTAGCGGGAAAGTTCTTAGCTGCGCTAATAACATATTCGTGGGAATTGTTGATATCGGCGTTAGAGGATGCGGAGCCATAGCCCTGGGAGTCAGCGTTAGCGACAGCAGAGTCTAAGTTATTGTTAGCTGAGGAGCTTGCGTATCCACCGTTTGTTTGTGATGCAGCGGATACTTGACCAAAGTTGTTTTGAGATTTAGAAGCAGCTGAACCGAAGCCTTGTGTCCTTGTAGCGGTTATTCCTACTCCATGTGCGTTGTTAGCGGTCGAAATGGCGGATCCAATTCCACCATAAGTCTTTGCGTTAGAGGAAGTTACTCCGACATTGCTAGCTCCATTGGTGTTTGCAGAGGATTCAGCAGACCCAGAGCCGTCAGTCCTTACAGAAGAAACCGAAGTTTCTGAATTTCCATCGTTGGTAGCAGAAGATTCAGCAACTACTCCACCAACGGGAATTTCGTATCTTATTTGAGATGGTACGTCGAAATTTTGTTCGTATGCTACGACGGTAGCAGGAGCTGGTACGTAATAACTTGGCACATTATGAACATCAGCGACTGCTTTGGCGGAACCGTAAAATGGTATGTGTTGAGTGTCGTGTACTTCAGCTTTAGCGACAGCCTGCCCGGGGTAAGCTTCATAACCATAGTTCCTAATTAAAGGATTCTGTTCATTTGATGTCGCTGTTCCTGAAGCATGAAGAACTCCTCCGTTGATAGAAGCTGACCCCGTCGCCTGACCGCCGTGGTTTGTATAGCCTTGACCGATTGAATAGCCGCGTCCATCACGGAATAAGTATCCTGTAATTAAAGAAAAAAAAAATTAAATAGAATGTTTTTTTTGTAAATAATTTACTAATACGTATATAAATAAGTAATGTCAAATAAGTCGAATTTTTAATAATAAAAAATAATTAAAATATAAAAATAATAATTAGTTGATTAAAAAAGTTTGCTTACCATTTAAAAAGACAGGGGTAGAATTGCAAAGCGCAATACACGCCAAGGCTACTACAAGTTTGGCTGCCATGGTACTCGTAGTTGAGAACAGACGCTTAGTGGATGTGGAGAGAGCATTTCTCCTAGCTTATATACGAACTTGAGTTACCACCACCTCGCCTGTGTAGGCCACATGAACTTCACCTAGAAAAGTCGTTCGCAGTCGTAAATTTGGTTGATAGGTTACGGTAGATTAATTGGCGATCTAAATCAAGATTTGGCGAATGATTTTATACTTATTATGACGTGTTGACATTGATACGTTGCAAGACTGGACCTTGTGCAGGTGCATTGACCTAGGCTTGTGATTTCCGCTTCATTAGACAGCTATCAAAATGCTCAGATTTCAGAATAAGTATTAATTATGTTTAATGTCATCTATAAATTGTAATTACAATTCTAAATATAAGTTAAAATTTAATAAAACAGGATTTTTTTTATTTATTGACATGGTAAAAGTAGTGTGGTAAGTACATATTTGCTTTGTATAATTAATGTAACTTTAAATACGTATATGACTTGTAATGAAGTAAACGATTTTCGTCTCTTTCCCGTCACTTTATTAATAGTTGTTTTTACCCGACTGCAGCGAAGCCCAAAGGAGGGTTATGTGTTTTTAGTTAAATTTAATTAATTTCAAACTATTTCAACCATTTCGAGAGCAAAACCATATGCAAGACTTATAACAAAAACTTACACTCATATATTTTATTTTTATTATAATAACCCGTATTCTTGTTACTGATTTTATTTAAATGAATTCAGATTTGACATATAGCGTCATTTTCCAAGCATTATATTTTTATGTTTCGTAAATGGTTTTTAAACAGTTCGTTTTGCAGATAATAGATTTTTTGTCGTCAGTCCATCATTAATTTTATTGCTATGATACATTATTTATGTATACATAATTTATTTTGAAAATTGATTTAAAAAATAAAATGACAAAAATTTAGATTTTTCTGAAACTAATTGATTAGCTAAGCAGTTCATGATCTTACTTCATAACTAGCGACTCACCGTCGCTTCGCTCGGGTTATTAGGTGATTTTTTAAATTGATATAACTTTTTTATTTTTAAACCGATTGAAATAAAACAAATAAATGTACCACAATACATTAGTGAAAACCGCCTCTAAATCAGGTAAGCCGTTTCTGAGATTAGTGCACACAAACGCACATACAAACAGCCAAAAATTCTATAAAATCATTGTGTCGGGTTTTATTGCGTTATTAAAGACCCCAAATAAATAGTTTTTCTTAAATATCTTCCATGTACAGACAGCGACCAGTTAAAATGTGTAGATGACGAAATAAGAGTATGACTAGAGCAACAAAAAGTTAAAATTTTACTCATCTAAAGACAGAGAAAGAGACCTTAAGAAGTTAATCAATAAAATGGTTTTTGCATTGTATATCTACATGATACGTATATATAAAAAATTGTAACAATTTTTTTCATGCTCCCAATTTGCTCAATTATTACTTATACAGATAATCTAATTTACTAAAAATAATTTTAAATTAAAGCTCTAATATTTATTTCTATAAGTTGATAAAGTAGGTAATGGTTTTAAACAATCTAAATGGCAACGTTGACCGTTACCTAAGTCGTAAAAATTAAAAATGTATCCTGAAGTTATCTATTTTTAATTATACTGCACGAGGGCAAAGTTATGTGCAATATTAAATTATAGTTTTAGTTTATTCTAGCTTCTTGAAACTAATATTACAAATGAGAGACTGTGTGTATGTTTTTATTTTTATTGTTACTCCATTTAACTGCCTCGGTGGTGTAGTGGCTAGCATGTACGGCTGCACACCCGGAGGTCCTGGGTTCGAGTCCTGGGTCGGGCCAAGTTTAGTTATTGAGTCTTTCTGTATAGTAAGTCTCAGTAACAGCCCGGAGTTAACTCTCACCGGTCGTGTCGAGTGGTCGTCCCACCGGAGTATGAGAGTGATAGGAATAGAGAATGCACCTGTGTCTGCGCGTACACTTGAGCACTATAATATCTCCTGCGCAGTTAGCTAATCTCAATGAGATTAGCCGCCGTAGCCGGAATCGGCTAGGAGAACATCATCATCATCATTATTACTCCATTAAATTACTTAGAATATATAGATTTGTCTAGAACTCCACTCTCGTGGTATTAATTTGCGATATAAGCTACCAATACTGTCACTCAAACTAACCTATAAATTTTAAAGAAGTGACTAACAAACACACTCACTCAGCCACAATATATAGAATTTATAATATTAATGTGATTTCTAACTTTTGGTAATTCAATGTTTCAAATATAATAGATTATAGCAAGAGCCTATTAAGAGTTAAAGCTCTGTATATTTCCACTCCGGTAGATAAGTACCTTTTTAACTCTGATGAGAAATAACTTAGAATAAATTTTGGTACCTATTCATTCAGATTAATCCTAACCTTTAATACAAGATACTTTTATTTTGGAAAATTTCACGAAGACGAAGCCGCAGCTAGCGACTAGGTAATCTTACTATACAATTTTATTATTTCGGCTTAGTAATATATACGTCATATGTGTTTTTTATTATAGAACATGTTGTTAGAATCTTCCATAAGCCCAAACTATCTACATCGGGTTAAAATGTACAGAAAAATAAAGCTGTATATTATAATTTTAATATACAACCAATTAATAAGGTAATTAAAAGTTAAATAAGTTTTTGAATGTTGGTGTTTAGAAGGTTAACTCTGGAAATAGTCATCCCATCCTAACGGTTAACAACACTAATTGCAACGGTTCTTGTAAACTCCATATTCAAGTTGAAGAATTGTTAAAGAAGGGCGCTAAGCTTTCGGACTTTTTTTACGTTGGGAAATGCATTTACGCATGCCACCTATATACACACAGGTGGGACTCACTGGCTAGAAAAGCCAGCACTACCCACTGAAACCCAGCGGAACCGGGAGCCTCCCCGTCTTAATGGGGCGTCGCAGGATCGCTTACGCGCTCAACCACGACACCCCGACGGCAGGTCTGACAAAGCTGACACAACCAAAATTCATCAGCGGGAGTGGGGTAAAGAGTTTTGGGTCTATAACAAGCCTGATTATACATTTAAGGCCAGTTTTAGGTAAATTAATATATTACTCAAATATAAACATAAGAAATAGTAAAATGCAGTTAGGGCATGAGCTAAGCGAGGGCGGCATGTTTTATTTTGTTCCTAGCCCACAAATGACCAAACTATTGAACACGTGGTACGTTTAGATTACTAGATAATAGATATATTATAATAAGCTTTAATATATTATCAATCAAGATACTTTCTCTGTCAACACTTTTATGCCACAATAAACTTTTTCTTTCTAATGATCGCAAAAAGTGTCCTAGCGAGTGTGTAACGAAATAACAGTTGTCACCAAGCGGATATTATGTTGATCTTGAATTAGAGCGTCTAAAAATAAAATATAACGTCAACGCGCTTTCTTTTTATTTTTAATGTTTACTTTCATTACTAGCGACTTAACCTATCTTTGTTCGGGTGCGTGCCAAGATGCCTTTTGTATTTATAATATGATAGGCAGGCATTGTCACTTTATGGCAAACGTTATTATATACAATAGCCTGTATGTTACTCCAGGTCCTAGTCTATCTTCCTCTCAACGTGCGTTAATCTTGTAGTGGGCGTCCGGTAATCTAGCCGGGCGCGAAGCCAAAAAAGACACTGGGAGGCGGCCCGGCCTACAGGTCTGATAGCAGAGTGGACTCTGGGAGCAACTCCATGTTTGATGTGGTCTGCTTCGGCAGACCAGCCGTCGGGGCGTCGTGGTTGAGTGCGTGAACGATCTTGCGATGCCCCATTAATACGGGGGAGGTTCTATTGGGTTTTAGTGGGTAGTACAGCTTTGCCGGTGAGTGCCACAAAGCTACGCTATCATTTTTTAATTTGATAATTTGCCTGACTGCCTATTTGTGTTTTTCCATGTAACTTGCAACCACTAAAAATGAACCACACTATTTTACCGATTTAATAAAAGGTGTACTAACTTATTCAATTCGAGTGTACTTGTGGTTTTTATGTAACAACTTTTTCTAAACTTTTATTCATGAATGATAATCGCATTTAAATTATGAAAATCAACCAACAAGGATGGAATGATTACCTACTTTTGAAGACATTGAACGCATTAATTTCAGTTAATAAGAACTTTAAAAAATATATATAAAAACCGACTTCCAGGCACTAAAATGTAAAAAAAAATAACTAAACGGGAGTTTTCATTTAGAATAGATACCCAATCAAATATTTTCGAAGTCGATTCGAAGTCGGTGCCAGCCCAAAAATATTTTACCCTAAAATATTTTTGTTCCGAATCACTCGAAACTTGATATTAATGCTCTTTAATACAACTAAATAAAAATGAGTTTTAGCATTTTTCGAAATTCATCCCTTATGGAGGTTAAATAGGGAACGAGTTTTTGTGCGAGCGAAGCCGCGGGTTCTGCTAGTATAACATAAAATACTTTAAAATTTATGAATACAGTTAGTAATAATCCCTCCAGTTTACCTAATTGTTTATGCTAATATTTGGCGACTATGACAGCGATGGATGAGAGCCAAAACGGAGCTAAAGAACTCGATCGTTTCACCTACAAGCGCCGCACTTGATTGCTATAACTTACTTTTTAGGGTTCCGAACCCAAAGGTTAAAACGGGACCCTATTACTTCGTCCGTCTGTTCGTCTATCACCAGGCTGTATCTCATGAACCGTGATAGTTAGACAGTTGAAATTTTCACAGATCATGTATTTCTGTTGCCGCTATAACAACAAATACTAAAAAACAGAATAAAATGAATATTTACGAGGGCTCCCATACAACAAACGTGATTTTTTTTGCTCGTTTTTGCTCGATATTGATAACGGCAACAGATAGACGCTTGAAATATTTACAGAATATTTAGTTATATATTCACTTTATAAATAAATAATTAAATTAAAAAAACATTTTTTAAAGGGGCTCCCATACAACAAACGTGATTTTTTTGCCG